ATGAGAGACTGCTTTGTCACTCAATATTCAGGTCCTGAACCTTTAAATCACACACCAACTTTCTCGGTCAAAGGTTAGTTATTACAGGATAACGTCTTGAACACAATTGCTATGTTGCGATCTCCATTCAAGATTTTCTACTCACATTCTTTCTCCTTGACCCATTCTTCCCTAGTTAATCGGATGTCTTCGTATTCCATATTCGCAGCAACGAAGGAAAGCCGAACGACCTCAGCCCGACCTCGGGCATCAAAGTAGTAAAGTTTATAACCTGACATTGTTTCTTCCAAGTGATAATTCGGAGGGTAAGCGCAGCGTTTATATTTACTGATGAACGTCACGTAACGTCTCACGGGGACGTTTTAATTGGTTCTATTTTGACAAGTATGTCATCATGTACTGATTAATGCTAATTTTGTAAATGAAGTCAGCATTGGTTATGCAGTAACTTCTAGCTTTCAAAGCGGTTTTTCTTGGCTGTATTCGAAATATTGAAAGCTTAAAATGGTTTTTCCTTTTTTGATTTTCAAATGCCCAGAAATCGACAACCTACGCCATTAATTCCTGTCCGGTGGAAGGTAAATTTGAGTACAGCAGCTGCCTCGCTACCAAAATTAGCAGCATTTGTGTTTCAGCAAGATTTAACATCAAACAAAGTCATCAAGTGTTGTTGCGTGAGTAAACAGTACACCCTGGGGGTTGCTGTGTTATTTTTAGAAGAGATAAGATTCGGAGGTCATTTTTTTACCGCATGGTCTCGATGGCTCTGGACTTTTGCAAACAGAAGACAGTTTGTTTTTCATTAAGGCTAAAAGTCACAACAGTTGCTGGTCATTCTCCCAAAAAAAATCGACATTTGCCAAATACAGGATTATAGTTGCTTTTCGAGTCACCGTGACCAGGCTTTAATTCAGTACAGCCAATGAAAGCATTTAATTAGTATTGTTTGACAAGTTTCTATTAGTTTTGGGTCTATTGTATATTTTTTCTAGAAAGGAATTTTAATCGATCATTTTTGGGACAAACATATTTTTTAATTTGGATCGACATTTAGCATAGTCAGCATTTCGTAATATCGATATCCTCGTTGGAAACGTTTCAATTGGTTCCTTTCGACAAACTTATGCCAATGGTTATATATTTGGCAAAGTAAAGGGATACCAGTTCCAACAGGCAATTCAACGACCAATTGTATCTCTCGAAAAAACATTTCAATGAATCTTTACCGTGACAAATCTCCACTTATTCCAGATTTGCATTCAATTAGCCGACTCGTCTCTCCCATGGTGACTTTGGAAATCTTGCCTTAAATCAAATAAAGTTTGGGTTGAAGTAAGTGAGCAGTCTGCCATTGATCTTTCAAGCTCGTTTACCCTTTACACTCTAACATCAGTATGCAAACTCTCCATACTATGTTCTATACATTTTAAAGGCGCTGACAAGGAGAATTTGTTTGACAATCAAGAGCGTGATCATTTCCTCTATTCTTGTGACCTTTATATGTGATTCAGAGGAGATATTAAAAGGAGAAATAAGAAAACGAAAAAAAGCTATTCATGTCCACGTGTGTAAACCTCAAGTGTTTTTGCGTGAGTTAACAGTACACCCTGGATGTTGGATTGCTGTGTCACTGCGAGAAGAGACAAGATTCGGAAGTAATTTTTTTCTGAATGGCCTCGATGGCTCTGTACTTTTGCAAACAGAAGACTGTTTGTTTTTCATTAAGGCTAAAAGTCACAACAGTTGCAGGTTATTCTCTCAAAGAAACCGACATTTGCTAAATAGAGCATGATAGTTGCTTTTAAGTCAAAATGAACAGGCAATAATTCAGTACCGCCAATGAAAGTATTTGATTAGTATTGTTCGACAAGTTTCTGTTAATTGAGTCTTTTTTGGGTCTTTTTCCTTTAAAAGGAATTCAATCGATTATTTTTTGGACAAATCTCTTTTTAAATTTGGATCGACATTTAGCATAGTCAGCATTTCGCAATATCGATATCCCCTTTGGAAACTTTTCAATATTGGGTCTATTGAATATTTTTCCTCTCATGGAATTTCAATTGAATACTTTGGACAAATCTATTTTAAATTTGGATCGATTCCAATCGAATATTTTTTGGACAAATCTATTCTTAAATTTGAGCGTGATCATTTCTTCTATTCTTGTGACCTTTAGGTGTGATTAAGTATGCAAACTCTTCATACTATGCTCTATAATGTTGAAAGGAGAATTTGTTTAATAATAGAGCGTGATCATGTGTTATTCTTGTCTTTACTGATTAGAGGAAATGTTAAAGAAATTGGGTTAACCAAGTTATTTACCCGTTCATTCTCAAGATATCATCATCAATTCTCCTTACTGCCTTCCAGACAATTCTTATGACGTTAATTTGGAGAAATTTGTTCAAACTTTCAGTGTTTAACCCCTTGTTTAAATTAGTTTGAGCTTTAGTAACTCAGGTGTTTATAAACCATCTCTTTTACGTGGCTGATTCAGGTCAGATGTTTGGGATCGCCATTCCGTCAATTCGAAAAATAAATGAAATATATACACCTTTTATTTTCTCCTCAAAAAGTGTTCCTCTGATGAGAAAACTAAAATGTATATAATTCCTATATATTTTCAAATTGCAACGTTTTTTAAAACGGGTGAATATATAAATATCATATATATTATATTAAAAAGCTTTTTCGAATAAAAGGTCTCATTAGATCACTTAAACCTATTCAAGGATTCAATATTTCTGATGGCACACGTAAGATCACTCCATATTTTAGGAGCGGCTGCGTGAAAGGAAAGATCGGTGAGCGTAGCGCGCGTGATTTACCCCTGCAAAGAACACAAAAAGGGAAACAAACAAACAAAAACGAACGTAACAAAAATAGAGGAGTACATTAGTGCTTAAATAAATCTTATGATTAGTTGAATGAATAAATTAACCACCAAAAGAAGGGCTGAGTCGATGAATGAATAAGTGACAGACAAACCGACTGACTTAAAAAGTGTGACGTCTACCTTGTCACCAACAAAGAATCCTTTCCCATCATTATATTGGCCTTAAGAAGTTTTTCAAAGCAAGTGAGAATTCCAGGGGTAACAGCTTTCGCCTCCTCTTGCAATTTAACCTGAATCAAGGAATGAACGGGGAATAAAGTGAGTGGCATACATGACGTTCCTGTGGTTATTCTATATTATATCAGCATAAAGACTCATTTTTCAACTGAGTTGCAACTCTAGTATTTAGAAAGAAAAAGACTAACAAACGTTCTTAAAACGCAAAAGACAGCCTGAACTCGACACTGGCTACATTGCGACATTGCGGTAGCGTTTTCGACTGCATGACTGAGCATATACACCACACTGATTGGGTTTGCTTTACTTCGTTCTATGATTAGTCCAGAAAACTTTCGCTACCTTGTCAACCCATCAGGTTTTGCTTACCTTCGGGCTACGATTGGTCCAGAAAACTTTCGCTACCTTGTAAAACCAATCAGACGCAAATTGGAAGCAAATGGCGTCGTGCTTTTTGCGTTTTCCCGCCTTTTGGGTCCCTGGCGTGTTTTAACTCTGAGCACTCGTTGGCTTTTGATGATCTTTCTTCGCTGTGATTGGTCGTGGAGGTTACCTTGGTTTTGGTGGTATGAAATAGTCGTAAGACCGCGCTGAAATTCCTTATAACAATCTTATGTACACTGGGCAGCGACGAACTGAAATATTAACTGGAAAAGATGGATACCTTTACAAATATTATAAGGGACTGTTTACCTTTCTTTTGGGTCTTTTTCAAAGAAAGCTGAAGCGTATTTTTCAGTTAAATCAGCAACACCGTCCACAATCATGTCTGCCTTACCCTAAGTCCAAATCGGTGGAGGGGGTTAGACCTAGGAGAATTAGGCAAAACTTAACTCAAAACAAAAGAGCCAGTGAGTATGATAATGAACGAATGAAAGAGTAGCAGAAGAGAAAGTAAGATGGAAGAAAGGAAATAACTAAGCAAGTGAGGGACAGATGGTGTAGGGATGGGAGGGATGGAAGGGGCGGGAGGAAGGAAGGGAGGGAGGAGGGAGGAAGGGATGGAGGAAGGGAGGGAGGGAGGAAGGAAGGGAGGGAGCTAGGGAAGAAGGGAGAGAGGAGGGAGGAAAGGAGAGAGGGAGGAAGGAGGGAGGGAGGGAGGGAGAGAGGGAGAGAGGATAAGAGGATGGAAGAGAAACAGTGGAAAGATAGGAAGGAAGGGAAAACGAGAGGGTTGGAAAAGAGGGTGAATCAAAAGGAGGAAAAAAGGGAGAGATTAGTAGAGGTAGGGGAAGGAGAGGATTGGGAGATGTGGGGTAAGGGAGGTTGGATGAGAGGGGGGGAGAGGATTAAAGGAAGGGAGAATGAAATGCAGTGACAGGAGGATGTGTGAAATGATTCATAAACTGTTCGGGGTAGGATGAGAAAGGAGGGGGGGGGGGGGTAGGAGGTTGCCTGTAATGAGCTACGGTTCTGTCAATTCCTGTTTGAAAGGCAGGCAACAAAACGGCAGCGGTGCAACTCTACAAGAACTCTGAGCACCAACACTTACGGAGCAGGCATGGGCAATTTTTCCTCTCCATCTGTAGCTTGACTACAAAATTGTTTAGGGGGAGGTTAGATTGACAGTTTAATGAGAACTGCTAGGAGCTCAGTCAACAAATTTTAAATCTCTTCAGCGTGCCAGGTGCTTAGGTCACTTCTCTTGCTTGTAGGTACCAACAATACAAATAACAATGGCATCCATGGCAATCTACATACTACATGTTTGTCAGTTCACCCTCTTCCCAAACATACAGCAGGAGAAGGATACAAAATAGATGAATTAAGAGAGATAGTTTCTATTTTAATGAAAATATTACCAAGTCATCCGGTCTTCTTCTTTTACCTCTTAAAAAAAACTGGAGGCCCCCTCCTCCCCACACCCTTTTCCCCCAGAGATCAAACGCCAGTTAAAGCTTAAATTAAACAGTTCTCACACAGAAAATAACTTTTCAGTTTAGTTTATTTTTCTTTCCATCACTTCACAGCTGGTAACCAACAACTGGTCGGAATCACAAAACATTTAATGCTCTGTTTTTGGGCGTGTCTCGACCCATTTCTTTATTTCTGGCACATCCAGTACACGTTTGTGATGCGCAGCCAATAACGGGAACTTTTCGAGTGCTTTCGGGGCAGTGGGTTCGCCTTTTTCCAAAAGGTTCATCAGGTCAAAGAAAATGATGTCAGCATATGTAAGCTGTGAATAGATATCATAAAATAAATCTGTATTAGCCTGGGATGTAATTTTTGAGAAGAAAAAGAGAGGAAGAAGAGGAAGAAAAAAAAGTATAATGATAAAAATAATGATGCTAATAATTATTGTGATGGTGATGATAATGATGATGATAATAATAGGACGTTTGAGTAAATTATACATTTAGCAAATGCACTTATCTATTTGCCATAATCGACGTAATGATGCATTTTTAAATAGTACAATGGCAAGAGGCTTTAACATTGTTTATTCCACAAACAACAATGTGAATAAAATCAAGTAAACCTAAATAGAAGATAGGATTAAAAAATTGGGACGAAGGGTCATGCATGCCTTAAATGCATGGTCTTGTATAGGAAAGAAATCTTGTGTATGTTAACAGAAAGATCAAATTTGTTTTCATCCACAAACTGTTACCTTGTCACCAACAAAGAATCCCCTGCCTTCATTGTTGGCTTTTAAAATATTTTCATATTTTGGCAGTCGGTTAGCGAGAGTTTCTTCAAAGAATTCTTTCATTAGCTCCGTCTACAAAATAATTTTGAGCAAACAAGGATAAAAAAAATTCCAAGTGAAGGAATTGGCCTAAATTAAGTTAGTGACACTGAATTGGTGGTCAAGGGAAATGGGGAGAGAGTTGGCTGAGTAGGCAAATGGGGAGAAGTTAAAACAAAAGCACTAGTATAATACAAATAGGGAGAGAGAAAGTATGGGAGAAAAATTAAAGAGAGGGAGGAAAAGGTTGCATAGGAGAGAAAGGTATAATAAATGAGGCACTGACAGAGGTAGTTGAGAGCAAGGGAAGGGAGAGAAAAAGGAAGGAGGGAGAGGGAGTGAGGTGTAAGAAGGAAAAGGAGAGGAGGAAAGGAGGGTGTGAGGGACTAAGAAGGAGAAAAGGTGGAAGGAAGGGATACATTGGAAGCTGATAACACCATCTAAAGAAGTATGGGAGAGGTAGGGTGATCAAGAAGTTAGTTGACCAGACTAAAAGAGGAAAGGAAAGGGCTGATAACAAGACAATGGGGGCAAGCTGTGAGGGGAGCAAAAACAGGTGGGACAGATCTGAAGGTAGTGGCAAACAGAAGAGATCTGAAGGTAAGATGTGAACAAGGTATTAAGATCTGTAATGAAAAGTGATAAAGATTATAAAGAAGAGGAAACAAAAAAAATTGTATTTATTTGGTACCTTTTTAGCTTCCTCCTTTTCCATATGAGCCTTTATCAAAGCCTGGAAAAAATCTTCAACACCACCCACAATCATATCAGCAATTGCCTCATCAAAACTGTCTGTTGGGCTCAAACCTTTATGTAATAAAGCAACAGAGGTTATGTCCATGGGCATAAATGATATGTTTTGGCCATGACTCAGAGTCATTTTAGCCTGACCTGCTTGGCATGAGTTAAAATGACTCTTAAAAAGAGCTCAACACATATTTATGCCCAATTAATACTACCATTATTACTTTTGAGGACATTGAGAAAAAAACAACTGGAAAATTAATGACAAAAATACACCAGTCTGACCAATCACCTGAGTATGTAAGCATTTTTGCCAGCCAAAATCTCCTTGCTTGCCTGAATAGATTTATTCCCAATAATTTATTTATTCCATCAAAACAGAACATATACAATATCTCTAATATTACTTACAAAAATAAGAATGGTATGATTAAAAAAAAGGCATCACAAAAGAAGCAACACACCAAACCTTACACTAAAGTAAAAAGATTATAACAGAATTACATTTTATCACAGGCAACCCCCTACCCCTCTCTCCCACCCCCTAGAAATTCATCAATTTTCCTTGTATGTTTGTTGATACTTAGTGAGGCACCTTGCACAATGGTGTTGGCTTAATCATGCCCCTGCCAGGAATTGCACCCATCAGGTAATTTTTAATCCTGGATCATGTGTACCAAATAAAACACCACCATGTCACCCAGAAAGCTAGGAGAAAATTTTGAATACTTATAGAAACTTTTTCAGCAGTTTCTTTTATTAGGTAATGTTTGAGAATCAAGCATTCTGCTTCCACAATCACAGATAAATTGCTTAGAAGTCAGTCATGGGGCGCCTCTCCACCCAAGCTTTTATTCCTGAATTTTCAGCACTTTCTCATACAGCACCACCAGCCTTGGATATTTCCTGAGACAAACCATAATGTTCCAAGGTTCTTCATGAAGCCATTGAAGAGGTTGAAGAAGGTACTGTTGGTTTTGGTTACAAGGTGAGATTAAGTTATTGAATTGTTCACTAGTCAAGCACAGAAAAATTGAAATTTTTCCTGTGGTATAGTGATGGTAATTGATAGTAACATTACTGTAGCTGCTTCATAAAGAAAAAATATTCATTTCAATAGTGATTACTCACCTCCTATTCTGCAAACATACTTCATGATTGCTTGAGACTGTCCGAGCACTTTTCCATCTGGGGTCACGAGAAATGGTGCCTGACCAAGAGGGGGTCTGCCAGCTGACAAAAAGAAATAGAAAAATAAATAGAAAGATAGATGATAAATTAATACATAAGTTAATTAACAGATAAATGGATTATAGACAGTTACTTAGAGAGAGATATATTAAGGTAGATAAATAGATAATTACACATGGATTTGAATAAATTTATTGTTAAATAGAAACAAAAAGAAATTACTAGAAAAGGGATGTCTTATCAAAGGAATGAGCGCATAAGCAATGAATTAACCATTAGTAAACATGTTGATCACATTATGTTTGCTTACATGTAGACAAAAATATAATGGACACATGAATAAATATGACGTGCATTTAATTCCTCTTATTAACATATCCCAAAGGAGTCTTCGATACAAGTAAAAGCATTTGCCTGATAACCAGATAAAATCTAGTAGGTATAAACTATTATAAAATGTCAAAAACTGACATCTTGCAATACCGCCAACTTTTCATGCGCTTTTGGTTGGAACTTAAGGTGCAGTATCAGTTCATAACTACTAAAGCATTATCTTTAATATTCGTTTTCAATCATATTAATTTATTTTTGGATGAAATCATGTAAATATTCGAGTGACGATTCTGACTGACTTGTTGACGAAAATATCTACTATAGCATAGTCACGCAATCCTGCTGTATGATTTAAAATTATTCAGAAACCTAGCCAAACTTGAGGGTTTTCTCTTTCTTGGAATGAAATTGAAAAATAGAGAGAAAGATCACAGAAGCCAATCTTTCTGACTGCTTCGCTTCCTGAAAAACCCAAATCATCTCTACAGCCTTTGGTTCTGACGTTCAGTTCTGGAAACTAATAACTTGCATCGTCATCGTTACGAATTAATTAGGGAATTAAGATAGGTCAGGTGGATGGACAGAATGTTAGATTGTAGTCATCCTCCCGACCTTTTTCGCGAAAATTTACTACCTAAGTACTTTTTTGGGGGCTCCAATTTCTTATCATTGCATACGTTCCCATGCACTGCATGATAATTCGTACTTAACTGAAATTGAGTTTTATTCGACAAAGAACACACGGTAAATTGAAAGAATCGATTTTTGTGAGTTTTAGCCGCAATCTTTTTCTTTTCCTTTTTTTTTTTTTAAGAAACAATGTGTTTTAGCAATGAGAGTCGATTTTTCATTCAATATGCAAGTCCTGAACCTTTATATGCAAACCAACTTTCTCGGTTAAAGGTTAGTTATTTCAGGATAACGTTTTGAACACAAGCGCTATGTTGTGATCGGCATTCAAGATTTTCTACTCACATTCTTTCTCCTTGACCCATTCTTCTCTGGTAAATCGGATGTCTTCGTATTCCATATTCGCAGCAACGAAGGAAAGCCGAACGATCTCAGCCCGACCTCGGACATCAAAGTAGTAAAGTTTGTAGCCTGACATTGTTTCTTGTAGATGATTCTTCGGAGCGCTAGCGCAGCGTTTATATGTTGCCGATGGACGTCACGCAACTTCTCACGGTGACGTTTTAATTAGTTTTATTTTGACAAGTATGTCATCATGTACTCATTGATGCTAAATTGATTTCCCGAATTATTTTCGTAAATGAAGTCAGCATTAGTTATGCAGTAGCTTCGTAGCTTTCAAGGCGATTTTTCTCGCTGCTTTCGAAATATTGTAAGCTTAACATGGTCTTTTTCCTTTATTATGTTTTTCAGATGCCCAGAAATCGACAACCTACGCCATTGATTTCTATCCGGTGGAAGGTAAATTTGAGTACAGCAGCTGCCTCGCTACCAAAATTAGCAGCATTTGTGTTTTGGCAAGATGTAATATACGGTTAAATTAGTGTGGGGAGCACGAAGCAAACGAAACAATCGCTATTTTTGTCCACGCGTGTATACCTCAAGTGTTGTTGTGTAAGTTAATAGTACACCCTGGATGTTGGATTGCTCTGTCACTGTGAGAAGAGACGAGATTCGAAAGTCATTTTTTACTGAATGGCCTCTATGGCTCTGGACTTTTGCAAACAGAACACAGCTTGTTTTTCATTAAAGCTAAAAGTCTCAAAAAATTGCAGGTCATTCTCCCAAAGAAACCAACATTTGCCAAAATGTAGCATGATAGTTGCCTTTAAGACATCATGAACAGGTATTAAATCAGTACCGCCAATGAAAGCATTTGATCAGTATTGTTCGACAAATTTCTGTTAACTCTGGGTCTAATGTATATTTTTCCTTAAAAGGAATTTCAATCGATTATTTTTTGGACAAATCTTTTGAAATCTAGATCGACATTTAGCAGAGTCAGCATTTTGTAATATCGATATCGATATCCTCGTTGGAACTTTTCAATATTGGGTCTATGGAATATTTCTCCTTTAAAGGATTCCAATCGAATATTTTTTGGACAAATCTATTTTTAAATTTGGATCGACATTTAGCAGGGTCAGCATTTCGTAATATCGATATCCTCGTTGGAAACTTTTCAATATTGGGTCTATTGAATATTTCTCCTTTAAAGGATTCCAATCGAATATTTTTTGGAAAAAAATCTATTTTTAAATTTGGATCGACATTTAGCAGGGTCAGCATTTCGTAATATCGATATCCTCGTTGGAAACTTTTCAATTGGTTCCTTGCGACAAACTTATGCCAATGGTTATATATTTGGCAAAGTGAAGGGATACCAGCTCCAACAGGAAATTCAACCATCAATTGTATCTCTCGAAAAAACATTTCAATGAATCCTTACCGTGACGAATCTCCATTTATTCTGGATTTGCATTCAATTAGCCGACTCGTCTCTCCCATGGTGACTTTGGAAATCTTGCCTTAAATCAAACAAAGTTTGGATTGAGGTAAGAGGGCAGTCATGCCATTGATCCTTCAAGCTTATTTAACCCTTTACACTCTAACATCAGTATGCAAACTCTTCATACTGTGCTCTATACATTTTTAAGGTGCTGACAAGGAGAATTTGTTTAACAATCAAAGGCGTGATCATTTCCTCTATTCTTGTGACCTTTATGTGTAATTTATAGAAAATATTGAAAGGAGAAATTAGATGTTAGTCACTCTTAGGGGTGAAAGGGTTAACCAAGTTATTTACCCGTTCATTCCCAAGATCTTATTATCAATTCTCTTTACTGTCTGCCAGACAATTCTTATGAAGTTATCAAGCTATCATACCACAGTATAAACTTCCCTACTTTAACATGCGTGGGAGGGCAGCGCTGACACGACTGATATTCAAAGCGGCTGGGGTGGAGCGGGGTGTCATTTCCAGTCTGAGGAGGATTGAAAGCGTGCGAGTTTGACAGAGCGATACACGATTAATCGTTATTTGCTTGCATCGCAAAATTTGCTTCAAGTTGAAGGATTATCCGTTCCTGTTAATCAGGGCGTCATTTGAAATTCGGCCTGGTTTTCTTTTTTAAAGGATTATTTATCCTGAACCTATCCGGCGTTACTTTCGTTCTTTTTGAAACCAATGGTGCTCACGCACAGTGTCTCACCGTTAATTCAGTATTTCACTTGCAACTTGTAAAGTCATTTCGCAAAGCGTTTAACTTTCGCTCTTAACCCAAACTGCGAAGATATCTGTTCACGAAAATCGCCAATATCACCTTTTATTGAGCATTAGGAAATATCGAATTTTGCATGGCCCTTTTAGAAAGGGGTTATATGTTATACGTTTACGAGGAATAAAGAAATCGTTGGCACAATCCATTAATTGAGTCCGGATCCAAACAAGAAAGACGTTTCTAGTTTCATTTATTGGCACAAACAAACTTTTCAGTGTTTAAGCACTTGTTTAAATTCGTTTGAGCTTTAGTAACTCAGATGTTTATAAACCATCCCTTTCACATGGCTGATACAGGTCGTGTTTTGAGATGCTCGTTGATGTTTGGGATCGCCATAACACGCTCATAATGAGACATCAAAAGAGGAAAATCTTTGATCAATGCTGGAACCTCCATCTTTCGTTGTGCAAAGAGGCCATTTACCATGTTAAAGAGGATGATGTCTGCATAGGTTAGCTATACATATACAAAAAAAAAAAAAAAAAAAAAGAAAGAAAGCACAAAAAATTTTTATTGACTTATATTGTGCAAGCATCAATGTTAAATTTCTAATTGTGCAATGAAATGAATAAACCTCTAAATCTAACTATTAAAACTGAAAAATAATAAAAAATGGACTAAAATTGACTAGCTAAGAAATATAGAAACATTATATATATATATACATATATATATATATACACACACACACACATATATATATCCGTCAACTCGAAAAATAAATGAAATATATACACCTTTTATTTTCTCCTCAAAAAGTGTCCCTCTGATGAGAAAACTAAAGATGTATATAATTCCTATATATTTTCAAATTGCAACGTTTTTTAAAACGGGTGAATATATACATATTATATATATTATATTACAAAGGTTTTTCGAATAAAAAGGTCTGATTAGATCACTTAAACCTATTCAAGGGTTCAATATTTCCGATGGAACACGTAAGATCACTCCATATTTTAGGAGCGGCTGCGTGAAAGGAAAGATCGGTGAGCGTAGCGCGTGATCTAACCCTGAAAAGAACACAAAAAGGGAAACAAACTAACAAACAAAAAACGAACGTAACGAAAATAGTGGAATACATTAGTGCCTAAACAAATCTTATGCCTATAATTGAATGAATGAATTAACCACCGAAAGAAGGGCTGAGTCGATGAATGAATATGTGACAGACAGACAGACCGACTGACTTAAAAAGTGTGACGTCTACCTTGTCACCAACAAAGAATCCTTTCCTATCATTATATTGGCCTTAAGAAGTTTCTCAAAGCGAGCGAGAATTCCAGGGATAGCAGCTTTCACTTCCTCTTGCAACTTAGCCTGAATCAAAGAATGAACGGGGAATAAAGTGAGTGGCATACATGACGTTCCTGTGGTTATTCTATATTATATCAGCATAAAGACTCATTTTTTCAACTGAGTTGCAACTCTAGTATCTAGAAAGAAAAAGACTAACAAACGTTCTTAAAACGCAAAAGACAGCCTGAACTCGACACTGGCTACATTGCGACATTGCGGTAGCGTTTCCGACTGCATGACTGAGCATGAGTTTTGGAACGACACTCAATTAAGCGTTGAAAGTAATACACCATTGAATTGGTTTTGCTTTACTTCGCTCTACGATTAGTCCAGAAAACTTTCGCTACCCTGTCAACCCATCAGGTTTTTCCTAGCTTCGCATTATGATTGGTCCAGAAAACTTTCGCTACCTTGTAAAACCAATCAGACGCAAATTGGAGGCAAATCGCGTCGTGCTTTTTGCGTTTTCCCGCCTTCTGGGTCCTGGCGTGTTTTAACTCTGAGCTCTCATTGGCTTTTGATGATCTTTCTTCGCTGTGATTGGTTGTGGAGGTTACCTTGGTTTTGGTGGTATGAAATAGTCGTAAGACTGCGCTGAAATTCCTTATAACAATCTTATGTACACTGGACAGCGACGAACTGAAATATTAACTGGAAAAGATGGATACCTTTACTAATATTATAAGGGACTGTTTACCTTTCTTTTGGGTCTTTTTCAAAGAAAGCTGAAGCGTATTTTTCAGTTAAATCAGCAACACCATCCACACTCATGTCTGCCTTACCCTAAGTCCAAATCGGTGGAGGGGGTTAGACCTAGGAGAATTAGTGAAAGCAAAACTTAACTCAAAACAAAAGAGCCAGTAAGTATGATGATGAACAAATGAAAGAATAGTGGAAGAGAAAGTAAGATGGAAGAAAGGAAAGAACTAAGGAAGTGAGGGACAGATGGAGTAGGGATGGAAGGAATGGAAGGAGGGAGGGAGGAAGGGAGGGAGGAGGGAGGAAGGGATGAAGGAAGGGAGGGAGGAAGGAAGGAAGGGAGGGAGCTAGGGAAAGAGGGAGAGAGGAGGGAGGAAAGGAGGGAGGGAGGAAGGAGGGGAGGGAGCAAGGGAAGGAGGGAGGGAGGGAGAGAGGGAGAGAGGATAAGAGGATGGAGTGGAAAGATAGGAAGGAAGGGAAAACGAGAGGGTTGGAAAAGAGGGTGAATCAAAAGGAGGAAAAAAGGGAGAGTTTAATAGAGGTAGGGGAAGGAGAGGATTGGGAGATGTGGGGTAAGGGAGGTTGGATGAGAGGGGGGAGGGGATTAAAGGAAGGGAGAATAAAATGCAGTGACAGGAGGATGTGTGAAATGATCCATAAACTGTTCAGGGTAGGATGAGAAAGGAGGGGGGGGGGGTAGGAGGTTGCCTGTAATGAGCTACGGTTCTGTCAATTCCTGTTTGAAAGGCAGGCAGCAAAACGGCAGCGGTGCAACTCTACAAGAACTCTGAGCACCAACACTTACGGAGCAGGCATGGGCAATTTTTCCTCTCCATCTGTAGCTTGACTACAAAATCGTTTAGGGGGAGGTTAGATTGACAGTTTAATGAGAACTGCTAGGAGCTCAGTCAACAAATTTTAAATCTCTTCAGCGTGCCAGGTGCTTAGGTCACTTCTCTTGCTTGTAGGTACCAACAATACAAATAACAATGGCATCCATGGCAATCTACATACTACATGTTTGTCAGTTCACCCTCTTCCCAAACATACAGCAGGAGAAGGATACAAAATAGATGAATTAAAGGAGATAGTTTCTATTTTAATGAAAATATTACCAAGTCATCCGGTCTTCTTCTTTTACCTCTTATAACTGGAGGCCCCCTCCTCCCCACACCCTTTTCCCCCAGAGATCAAACGCCAGTTAAAGTTTAAATCAAACAGTTCTCGCACAGAAAATAAATTTTCAGTTTAGTTTATTTTTCTTTCCATCACTTCACAGCTGGTAACCAACAACTGGTCGGAATCACAAAACATTTAATGCTCTGTTTTTGGGCGTGTCTCGACCCATTTCTTTATTTCTGGCACATCCAGTACACGTTTGTGATGCGCAGCCAATAACGGGAACTTTTCGAGTGCTTTCGGGGCAGTGGGTTCGCCTTTTTCCAAAAAGTTCATCAGGTCAAAGAAAATGATGTCAGCATATGTAAGCTGTGAATAGATATCATAAAATAAATCTGTATTAGCCTGGGATGTAATTTTTGAGAAGAAAAAGAGAGGAAGAAGAGGAAGAAAAAAAAGTATAATGATAAAAATAATGATGCTAATAATTATTATGGTGATGGTGATGATAATGATGATGATAATAATAGGACTTTTGAGAAAATTATACATTTAGCAAATGCACTTATCTATTTGCCATAATCGACGTAATGATGCATTTTTAAATAGTACAATGGCAAGAGGCTTTAACGTCCTTTATTCCACAAACAACAATGTGAATAAAATCAAGTAAACCTAAATAGAAGATAGGATTAAAAAATTGGGACAAAGGGTCATGCATGCCTTAAATGCATGGTCTTGTATAGGAAAGAAATCTTGTGTATGTTAACATAAACTTTAAGATCAAATTTGTTTTCATCCACAAACTGTTACCTTGTCACCAACAAAGAATCCCTTGCCTTCGTTGTTGGCTTTTAAAATATTTTCATATTTTGGCAGTCGGTTAGCGAGAGTTTCTTCCAAGAATTCTTTCATTAGCTCCGTCTACAAAATAATTTTGACCAAACAAGGATAAAAAAATCCAAGTGAAGGAATTGGCCTAAATTAAGTTAGTGACACTGAATTGGTGGTCAAGAGAAATGGAGAGAGAGTTGGCTGAGTAGGCAAATGGGGATAAGTTAAAACAAGAGCAAGGGAAGGGAGAGAGAAAGGTAGGAGGGAGAGGGAGTGAGGCATAAGAAGGAAAAGGAGAAGAGGAGAGGAGGGTGTGAGGGACTGAGATGGAGAAAAGGTGGAAGGAAGGGATACATTGGAATCTGATAACACCATCTAAAGAAGCATGGGAGAGGTAGGGTGATCAAGAAGTTAGTTGACTAGACTAAAAGGGAAAGGAAAGAGCTGATAACAAGACAATGGGGGCAAGCTGTGAAGGGAGCAAAAACAGGTGGGACAGATCTGAAGGTAGTGGCAAACAGAAGAGATCTGAAGGTAAGAAGTGAACAAGGTATTGAGATCTGTAATGAAAAGTGATAAAGATTATAAAGAAGAGGAAACAAAAAAACAAAATTGTGTTTATTCGGTACCTTTTTAGCTTCCTCCTTTTCTATTAAAACCTTTATCAAAGCCTGGAAAAAATCTTCAACACCACCCACAATCATATCAGCAATTGCCTCATCAAAACTGTCTGTTGGGCTCAAACCTATATGTAATAAAGCAACAGAGGTTATGTCCATGGGCATAAATGATATGTTTTGGCCATGACTCAGGGTCATTTCAGCCTGACCTGCTTGGCATGAGTGAAAATGACTCTTAAAAATAGCTCAACACATATTTATGCCCAATTAATACTACCATTATTACTTTTGAGGACATTGAGAAAAAAACAACTGGAAAAAATGACAAAAATACACCAGTCTGACCAATCACCTGAGTATGTAAGCATTTTTGCCAGTCAAAATCTCCTTGCTAAACTGAATAGATTTATTCCCAATAGTTTATTTATTCCATCAAAACAGAACATATACAATATCTCTAATATTACTTACAAAAATAAGAATGGTATGATTAAAAAAAAGACATCACAAAGGAAGCAACACACTACACCTGACACTAAAGTAGAAAGATTATAACAGAACTACATTTTATGACAGGCAACCCCCTACCCCTCTCTCCCACCCCCTGGAAATCCATCAATTTTCCTTGTATGTTTGTTGGTACTTATAGTGAGGCATCTTGCACAGTGGTGTTAGTTTAATCATGCTCCTGCCAGGAATTGCACCCATCAGGTAATTTTCAATCCCTGATCATGTGTACCAAATAAAACACCACCATGTCACCCACAAGGCTAGGAGAAAATTTTGAATAATCATAGAAGCTCTTTCAGCAGTTTCTTTTATTAGGTAATGTTTGAGAATCAAGCATTCCGCTACCACAATCACAGACAAATTGCTTAGAAGTCAGTCATAGGGTGCCTCTCTGCCCAAGCTTTTATTCCTGAATCTCCAGCACTTTCTCATACAGCACCACCAGCCTTGGATATTTCCTGAGACAAACCATTGTTCCAAGGTTCTCCATCATTCATGAAGCCAATGAAGAGGTTGAAGGAGGTACCGTTGTTTTTGGTTACAAGGTGAGATTAAGTTAATAAATTGTTCACTAGTCAAGCGCACAAAAATTGAAATTTTCCCTGTGGCATACTGATAGTAATAGATAGTAACATTACTGTTGCTGCTTCATAAAGAAAAAAATATTCATTTCATTAGTGATTACTCACCTCCTATTCTGCAAACATACTTCATGATTGCTTGAGACTGTCCAAGCACTTTTCCATCTGGGGTCACAAGAAATGGTACCTGACCAAGAGGGGGTCTGCCAGCTGACATAAAGAAATAGAAAAATAAATAGAAAGATAGATGATAAATCAATACATAAGTTAATTAACAGATAAATGGATTATAGACAGTTACTCAGAGAGAGATATATTAAGGTAGATAAATAGATAAATACACATGGATTTGAATAAATTTATTGTTAAATAGAGACAAGAAGAAATAACCAGTAAAGGGATGTCTTATCAGAGGAATGAGCGCATAAGCAATGAATTAACCATAAGTAAACATGTTGATCACATTATGTTTGCTTACATGTAGACAAAAATATAATAGACACATGAATAAATATGACATGCATTTAATTCCTTTTGTTAACATATCCCAAAGGAGTCTTCGATATAAGTTAAAAACATTTGCCTGATAACCAGATAAAATCTAGTAGGTATAAATTATTATAAAATGTCAAAAACAGACAGCTTGCAATACCGCCAACTTTTCACGCGCTTTTGGTTGGAACTTTAGGTGCAGCGTCAGTTCATAACTATTAAAGCATTATCTTTAATATTCGTTTTCAATCATGTTAATTTATTTTTGGATGAAATCATGTAAATATTCGAGTGGCGGCTCTGACTTTTGTTGACGAAAATATCTACTATGGCATAGTCACGCAATCCTGCTGTATGATTTAAAATTATTCAGAAACCTAGCCAAACTTGAGGGTTTTCTCTTTCTTGGAATGAAATTGAAAAATAGAGAGAAAGATCACAGAAGCCAATCTTTCTGACTGCTTCACTTCCTGAAAAACCCAAATCATCTCTACAGCCTTTGGTTTTGAGGTTCAGTTCTGGAAACTAATAACTTGCATCGTCATCGTTACGAATTAATTAGAGAATTAAGATAGGTCAGGTGGAAGGACAGAATGTTAGATTGTAGTCATCCTCCCGACCTTTTTCGCGAAAATCTACTACCTAAGTACTTTTTTTTTGGGGGGGGGGCTCCAATTTCTTATCATTGCATACGTTCCCATGCACTGCATGATAATTCGTACTTAACTGAAATTGAGTTTTATTCGACAAAGAACACACGGTAAATTGAAAGAATCGATTTTTGTGATGATAATGAGGATAGCATGCGGTTTTAGTCGCAATCTTTTTCTTTTCCCTTTTTTTTTAAGAAACAATGTGTTTTAGCAATGAGAGACGATTTTTCATTCAATATGCAAGTCCTGAACCTTTATATGCAAACCAACTTTCTCGGTTAAAGGTTAGTTATTTCAGGATAACGTTTTGAACACAAGCGCTATGTTGTGATCTGCATTCAAGATTTTCTACTCACATTCTTTCTCCTTGACCCATTCTTCTCTGGTAAATCGGATGTCTTCGTATTCCATATTCGCAGCAACGAAAGACAGTCGAACGATCTCAGCCCGAGCTCGGGTATCAAAGTAGTAAAGTTTGTAGCCTGACATTGTTTCTTGTAGATGATTCTTCGGAGCGCTAGCGCAGCGTTTATATGTTGCCGATGGACGTCACGCATCATCATTTACTTATTGATGCTAAATTGATTTCCCGAATTATTTTCGTTAATGAAGTCAGCATTAGTTATGCAGTAGCTTCGTAGCTTTCAAGGCGATTTTTCTCGGCTGCTTTCGAAATGTTGTAAGCTTAACATAGTCTTTTTCCTTTATTATGTTTTTCAGATGCCCAGAAATCGACAACCTACGCCATTAATTTCTATCCGGTGGAAGGTAAATTTGAGTACAGCAGCTGCCTCGCTACCAAAATTAGCAGCATTTGTGTTTTGGCTAGATGTAACATACGGTTAAATTAGTGAGGGGAGCACGAAGCAAACGAAACAGTCGCTATTTTTGTCCACGTGTGTAAACCTCAAGTGTTGTTTTGTGAGTTAATAGTACACCTTGGATGTTGGATTGCTGTGTTACTGTGAGAAGAGACGAGATTCGAAAGTCATTTTTTTTTACTGAATGGCCTCTATGGCTTTGGACTTTTGCAAACAGAAGACAGCTTGTTTTGTAAGTTAATAGTACACCTTGGATGTTGGATTGCTGTGTTACTGTGAGAAGAGACGAGATTCGGAAGTCATTTTTTACTGAATGGCCTCTATGGCCCTGGACTTTTGCAAACAGAAGACAGCTTGTTTTTCATTAAGGCTAAAAGTCTCAACAATTGCAGGTTATTCTCCCAAAGAAACCAACATTTGCCAAAATACAGCATGATAGTTGCCTTTAAGACATCATGAACAGGTGTTAAATAAGTACCGCCAATGAAAGCATTTGATTAGTATTGTTCGACAAGTTTCTGTTAATTCTGGGTCTAATGTATATTTTTCCTTTAAAGGATTCCAATCGAATATTTTTTGTACAAATCTCTTCAAATCTGGATCGACATTTAGCAGAGTCAGCATTTCGTAATATCGATATCGATATCCTCGTTGGAAACTTTTCATTATTGGGTCTATTGAATATTTCTCCTTTAAAGGATTCCAATCGAATATTTTTTGGACAAATCTATTCTTAAATTTGGATCGACATTTAGCAGGGTCAGCATTATATATATGTAATATCGATATCAATATCCTTGTTGGAAACTTTTCAATTGGTTCCTTTCGACAAACTTATGCCAATGGTTATATATTTGGCAAAGTAAAGGGATACCAGCTCCAACAGGCAATTCAACCATCAATTGTATCTCTCGAAAAAACATTTCAACGAATCCTTACCATGACGAATCTCCATTTATTCTGGATTTGCATTCAATTAGCCGACTCGTCTCTCCCATGGTGACTTTGGAAATCTTGCCTTAAATCAAATAAAGTTTGGGTTGAGGTAAGAGGGCAGTCATGCCATTGATCCTTCAAGCTTATTTAACCCTTTACACTCTAACATCAGTATGCAAACTCTTCATACTGTGCTCTATACATTTTTAAGGTGCTGATATGGAGAATTTGTTTAACAATCAAGAGCGTGATCATCTCCTCTATTCTTGTGACCTTTATGTGTAATTTATAGAAAATATTGAAAGGAGAAATTAGATGTTAGTCACTCTTAGGGGTGAAAGGGTTAACCAAGTTATTTACCCGTTCATTCCCAAGATCTCATTATCAATTCTCCTTACTGTCTTCCAGACAATTCTTATGATGTTAATTTGGAGAATTTGTCATATGATGAACTAATAATACCCTCATTGACATTTTTCTTTATTCTCATCACCTGTCTGCTTGATATTGTATTGATATTGTAAGGAGAAGTTCTGTCTTGGTCACCCATACGAGTTAGAGGGTGAAGCAAAGATCCTCGTTGATGAGCTGAAATGAAGCCTGAAAAAAAAATGCAGACTTCGATGGGATTCGAACCAATGCCTCCCGGATACTAATTGATTGCTAGGTAACTACCAACAGTGCTACGGTACCGCACGTTAGGAAGAGTGCACATTTGAAAGGGTTCTTCTCTCCGCGGATGAACCTCATCATAACGTTTTGCTGTGTTTGCAACCCCAAATCTTTCCGCCATTCAACATTCGCAGCATGCAAATAGTGAGTTGCATAAGTTTTGTGTGCATGCGTGCAGAACAAGCCTTCGACATTTGCTTGCACCTGCACCGTCGTAACTTGCACCGCTCGCCCAAAGAAAAAAAAAGCTATCATACCACAGTATAAACTTCCCTACTTTAACATGCGTGGGAGGGCAGCGCTGACACGACTGATATTTAAAGCGGCTGGGGTGGAGCGGGGTGTCATTTCAAGACTGAGGAGAATTGAAAACGTGCGAGTTTGACAGAACGATTCACGATTAATCGTTATTTGTTTGCATCGCAAAATTTGCTTCAAGTTGAAGGATTATCCGTTCCTGTAAATCAGGGCGTCATTTGAAATTCGGCCCGGTTTTCTTTTTTAAAGGATTATTTATCCTGAACCTATCTTTCGTTCTTTTTGAAACCAATGGTGCTCACGCACAGTGTCTCACCGTTAATTCAGTATTTCACTTGCAACTTGTAAAGTCATTTCGCAAAGCGTTTAACTTTAGTTCTTAACCCAAACTGCGCAGATATCTGTTCACGAAAATCGCTAATATCACCTTTTATTAAGCATTAGGAAATATCGAATTTTGCATGGCCCTTTTAAAAAGGGGTTATATGTTATACGTTTACCATGAATAAAGAAATCGTTGGCACAATCCATTAATTGAGTCCGGATCCAAACAAGAAAGACGTTTCTAGTTTCATTTATTGGCACAAACAAACTTTTCAGTGTTTAAGCACTTGTTTAAATTCGTTTGAGCTTTAGTAACTCAGATGTTTATAAACCATCCCTTTCACATGGCTGATTCAGGTCGTGTTTTGAGATACCCGTTGATATTTGGGATCGCCATAACACGCTCATAATGAGACATCAAAAGAGGAAAATCTTTGATCAATGCTGGAACCTCCATCTTTCCTTGTGCAAAGAGGGCATTTACCATGTTAAAGAAGATGATGTCTGCATAGGTTAGCTATACATATACAAAAAAAAAAGGCACAATTAAAATTGTTTATTAGCTTATATTGTGCAAGTATCAATGTCAAATTTCTAGTTGTGCAATGAAATGAATAAACCTAAATCTAACTATTAAACCTAAACAATAATAAAAAAATGACTAAAATTGGCTAAGAAATATAGAAACAATATAGCTATATAAATATATATATATATATATATATATATATATCCGTCAATTCGAAAAAATAAATGAAATATATGAACCTTTTATTTTCTCAAAAAGTGTCTCTCTTTGACGAGAAAACTAAAGATGCATGTTATTCCTGCATATTTTCAAATTGGCGACGTTTTTGAATTTATATATATCAGTATTTATGTACATATATATATATATATATATATATATATATATATATATATATATATATATATATTATATTAAATAAAAGCTTTTTCGAGTAAAGAGGTCTGATTAGATCACTTGAACCTGTTCAAGGATTCAATATTTCTGATGGAACACGTAAGATCACTACATATTTTAGGAGCGGCTGTGTGAAAGGAAAGATCAGTGAGCGTAGCGCGTGATTTACCCCTGCAAAGAACACAAAAAGGGAAACGTAAAAAGGAACGTAACAAAAATAGAGGAATACATTCGTGCTTAAACAAATCTTATAACTATAATTGAATGAATTAATTAACCACCAAAAGAAGGGCTGAGTCGATGAATGATTAAGTGACAGACAGACTGACTTAAAAAGTGTGACGTCGTACCTTGTCACCAACAAAGAATCCTTTCCCATCATTATTGCCTTTAAGAAGTTTCTCAAAGCGAGCGAGAATTCCAGGGGTAGCAGCTTTCACTTCCTCTTGCAACTTAGCCTGAATCAAGGAATGAACGCGGAATAAACTGAGTGGCATACATGACGTTCCTGTGATTATTTCTCAAGTTAAAAATGAAGTACCAGCATAAAGATTCATTTTTTTCAACTGAGTTGCAACTCTAGAATCTGGAGAGTCCTTGAAACGCAAGAGACAGCCTGAACTCGACACTGCCTACATTGCAACATTGCGGTAGCGATTTCGACTGCATGAGTAAGTTATTGGGGCGACCTTCAAATATGTGTTGAAAGTAATACACCACTGAATTGGTTTTGCTTTACTTCGCTCTTCGATTGGTCTAGAAAACTTCCGCTACCCTGTCAACCGATCAGACGCAAGTTGGAGGCAAATCGCGCGTTGCTTTTTGCGTTTTCCCGCGTTTTGGGCCCCTAGCGTGTTTTAGCTCTGAGCTCTCATTGGCTTTTGGTGATTTTCTTCGCTGTGGTTGGTCGTGGAGATTACCTTAGTTTTTGTCGTACGAGATAGTCGTAAGACCGCACTGAAATTCCTCCTAATAATCTCTTGTACACTGCGCAGCGACGAACTGGAATATTAACTGGAAAAGACGGATAACTTTATAAATACGATTAGAGACTGTTTACCTTTCTAGTTGGGTCTTTTTCAAAGAAAGCTGAAGCGTGTTTTTCGGTTAAATCAGCAACGCCATCCACAATCATGTCTGCTTTAGCCTTTTCCAAATTGGTGGAGGGAGTAAGACCTAGGAGAATTAGTGAAAGCAAAACTTATGAAGGAAAGAACGTACGAAAGAGACAAAAAGTATGATAATGGAAAAATGAAAGAGTAGCCGAAGAGAAAGTAAGATGGAAGAGAGGAAAGAACTAAGGAAGTGAGAGACAAATGGAGTAGGGATGGAAGGGAGGGAGGATGGGAGGGAGGAGGGAGGAAGGGATGGAGGAAGGGAGGGAGGGAGGGAGAGAGAGAGCGTAAGAGGATGGAGGGGAAAGAGTAGAAAGATAGGAAGGAAGGGAAAACGAGAGGGTGAATCAAAAGAAGGAAAAAAGGGAGAGATAGAGGTAGGGGAGGATTGGGAGATGTGGCTGAAGGGAGGTTGGAAAAGAGGGAGAATGGGATGGAGAGAGGATGGGAGAAGATTAAAGGAAGGGGGAATAAAATGGAGTGACAGAGGGAAGGTGAAATGATTTATAACTGAAGGAAGGATGAAAAAGGAATTAAATACATAGATGCTCTTTGAAAATGCACACTTGGATGCAGTTTTAATGACGAGTACTTTATTCCTTTCCTGTTTTGATGAGAACTTCTTCCAAAAAAAAGAAACCTACCAAATTCATTGCCTAAAAATCTTGCTATAGAAAACGATTGAGATAGCATCACTCCATCAACTTCAAGCACTGGAAGCTGACCAAACGGAAACTCTGAAGCTGCAAGAAATAAAAATATACAAAATAATTACCGTGCATGTTTTTTTTTTCTATTAGAAAAATATATATATATAGGAAGTCTGCAAGTCGATTTTCGCGTGGAACAGTGCTCAATACGTTGAAGCAGAGCAGAATAAATATTATGAGGGGAAAAAAGGACGCAACTACATTTCCCGACAAGGCTGTTTCGTGAATCGCTTCACTCTTCAGGGGTTCGATATATGTCATGGCGTACTTTATGTAGTTGATACTTGTGATTTTAGTGTAAAAATTATAAGAAATTTGAGCAGCTAGGTTCACGCTTTGCGATGCGTCAATGTTGCTGATAGCGATCACTTAAAAAAAAATCTTTTTTCCCCTCATAATATATATATATATATATATATATATATATATATATATATATATGCGCAGTTCGTAATATTTATGGAACTATCTTGACTTAGAGAGGAAAATTAGAGAGAAGGAGCGTTCCGAGCTTTGAGAAGATGTTAAGATTATAGGGATATTGTATTAGTGGACAGTAAACGGTGTTTTTTGGTTTTTGCCCTAAAGGTACTTCTGTTTGGAATCCTTAACTAGAGAAACATTTTCTTTATTAATGAACCTCAAAAATACTGTCATTTGACTTCATTACCCTTTGCTAATGGTCTACTTTTTTTTCAATACGAATGAATTGATCGTCAGATAATTTGGTTATCAACTGAACTGACAATGTGAATTGCTCGTCGTAAGGTCTGCTGTCAAAGAGACTACCAAGCTGACGTTCCGAGTGCGATCCCTTCTCCCTTAGGTACGCGAGAAGTAATGAAAAAGTTTTGAAGGGTAGAAAATTTCCTCGCGAGAGCGTCCCTTTTTATTTCTAGTTCCGAATTATTACATTCCCATATTTAAATGACCCCCAGTGTGTTTACTTTCTGCAGCGCACCAACGACCTTTGTTTCATGACAGCTACCATCAATACCCTATATTTGTTATGCAACACCTCACATATGCAAATTATGGCTTAACGAGAAACACGGCTTAGCTTATTTAATTAAATTCAAACCATGTTCATAGGCTCTCAAACCACAACTAGCCTAGCGTAAAATTCGACATATGTCATGGCGTACTTTATGTAGTTGATACTTGTGATTTTAGTGTAAAAATTATAAGGAATTTGAGCAGCTAGGTTCACGCTTTGCGATGCGTCAATGTTGCTGATAGCGATCACTTCAAAAAAAAATTGTTTTCACCCGTTCGGAAAACGCGTTCTGAATATTTGGAAACACGGCATCGTTCACGCATTTTCTGAATTTTTCCGACAGGAAAATCCAAAGTTGTCTCTTTGTTTTCGAGTCGGCGAATTGGAGTATTCGTTCCATAAGAATCGAACTCCTTCTTATAACAAATTAGATTTGGAACGTCGCAAGCGCGTTGCAAAATCATATAGCCGCTTATCCCAACGAAAATGAGGTACAAATAATTCAGACTATGAACTGAGCTGAAGTCCAGAAAATGAGTTATCCTGCAACATGCCGCAAAATTTATTTTACAATGCAAACACACGAATGAACCACCCCTACTCACAAGCTTTCAAGGCTCCCCACTCTTCGAATGTCACACGCTTATCCTCAAACTCCTTTCCAGCCGCTTTGAAAACCAATCGTGCTGGTTCTCCTCTTCCTCTGATGTCAAAATAGGTGAGTTTATAGCTCGGCATCTTGGTGCGTGAGGCAGACAGTTTTAACTCAAATTTGCAAATGAGTAAAAATGACAGTTACTGCAACTGATCGAGCAGGTGTGGCGCGCATGTACTTCAAGAGATTGAAGTCACACAACTGAACATTTGCATGACAATAATTAAAAGAATAAGATTTGTGCTCTTTGCGCACCGCTGGTCATTATGCTTTGGAGGTTGCTAACACGCATGATTACCTCTCCTTTTTGTGACTGATTTACAGCAGCAAATCAATTTAAAGGAGTAATGTAAAGGTTCAAATCAAGCAAGGCGAAATCTAAACATTTGTTATTGTTTCTTGCGTCAACCAGCGTGACAGTGTGAGGCATGTCTATGGAAAGACCTTTCTCGAATCACTTTGGTTGGTAATTTTCAAAAATTGATTACAAATTACAAATCTTAACATCTATAGACGGAGGTAAAGGTCAGATAAACCCTCGCAGACACCTTTTTTCCTAAAAGGCCTAGTAAATTGATTCGTTTATTCTCGTAAATAAACATAAAGAATTTCCCTTGCTACAAGATTGTCATGATGAAGAATACACAAAGTAACGCAAAGGTCTGCTCATATCAGTGTTTCAGGTCGCGCCTCCAACCACTTTTTGACATTTCGGATCTCCATGGTGCGTTTATGGTGAGACTCCGGCGGATGATATGCTTTTATTTCCTCTGGAACTTTGATCTTTCCCTGTACGAAAAGGTGATTCAGCATGTTGAAGACGGTAATGTCTGCGTACGTGAGCTGAAAATATACAGATGATACAAGTTGATGACAAATATAAATCAAGAAAATTTACGAACAAAGAAATAAACAATGAAAGAAATGAACCAACAGGGAATAAATGGATTATGAGTGAATTAATGAATGAACAAATGAACGCGCGAGCGAGTGAGTGCGTGAGTGCGTGAGCGAGTGGGTGCGTGAGTGGGTGTGCGAGAGAGTTAGTGAGTGACTAAGCGAGTGGGCAAGTGAGAGAGTGAGTGAATGAGTGAGTGATTGAGTGACTGATAAAGACTATGAGTGAGCGTGTGAGTGCGTGAGCAGGTGGGTGCGTGAGCGGGTGGGTGCGTGAGTGGGTGAGCGAGAGAGTTAGTGAGTGAATGAGTGAGTGACTGGGAGTCTGGGAGAGCGAATGAATGACTGAAGGGGTGGATGAGAAGTGTCATCGCCGATTTCTTTCGGCTCATGCTAAGGCCTAACCTAGAAAAATTTATGGACCATTTCAGAGTCTTAGCAATTTGGGAGACCTTCTCATTGACGAATGAATGACTGCTCTACGAATAACTCCAAAGGGCTTTCACTTCCTCGGATGATATATTTTAATGAACTTTAGAGGAATCATTTCTACTTTCAGCCAAAGCAGACATGATTTTTCACGATTCAAAAGTGAAAACGATGATGATAATGAGCAGTCCAACGGGCTGGAGTAAAACAGAAAAAAAAAAATAAAGGAGGAAGGATGAAAGGGAAAGAATGGGCGGGAGTGAAAGAGGGGAAGAGGAAGGTTAAAACTCGCTTCTTATCAGGAGAGACACCTTTACCAAATATGATAATGATTATTTGTTTTTGGCTGTGCATTAGCCTTGAAATCAAAAAGAGTAGTAAACTTTCCTGGAGTATTTAATCAGACAGACTCTCTCATTATTTTCTCTTGAAACTTACCTCAGACATTGGCCATTCATCTCGCAATAGAAAAAGGGCTGGGAAAGACTGTTCTCTATCAAATTCAAGCACTGGCAGTCGACCAAAAGTGAATTTCCCGGCTTTAAGGAACGCAACGAAAATTACCCTTAAAAGGGAACAGCTATCAAAACATATGGTACATTTGGGCATTAATTAGTCTCCCTCGCACCCGTTTTAGGGGAAGGAGCGTTGCGTGACGAGTCTAAGAACCGCAGCGAAGGAGACTGGGCATTAATAGGAGCTTTTAGTAATAAAACTGTAAGCAGTATATTACAGCGACCATACTGTCATGTTGCTCCACACTGAAATCTATCTTTCAAAAGGCCTGCGCTTTGTAAAGATACGAAAGAGGTTTTAAGTAGCCAATAAAAAAGTTGTTTAGGATGTTTTCAATCGAAACGGGCTCTCGTTAGTATTATTACCGTACTTACTTCTCATTCCCATTTTCTTAATTTCCCGGCCTTCGCCGTTGTGACCACCTTAGATCGTAAAAGACACTCAGTCAAAAAGCTCTCTATTCATAACTTAATAATTATAAAGATCAACAGAATCAAAATTAGCGACCAAGTCCTCTATAACTAATAAGTACAGTTGACGGTAAAAACAATTCATTACCTTTGTTATTTATTTTTTTTATCTGAATTTTTCGGCTGTTAGTTCGTTACTTTGGAAACAATACAATTTTTTTCGCATTGTTTTTCTATTATTTCAGCAATTTTGTTTGTGCTTATTTCGTTTCCTTTGTTAGTTTGCCATTTTTTTTTATTCGATTTGTCATTTTTTTTGCGTTTTGAGGGAGGGCTGGCTGCCCGCTTTTGTCGGAAGCTACATGATATAGATGTACAAAAAGAGTCACATTTGTGAAGCTAACAATCTTTATGCAAATTCGGGCTTAAACAGCTGAAGCAGACCGTAAATTTATTTACGAAATTTTAAAAGCATTATTTTTTAGCCCCTGAACCTGGTATCGCAGAAGTCAAAATTCGAGATATTTCATAACGCACCTAATACCAGCCTTTTTCCAGGTAAAAAAATTTGCGCAGTTTGAGTTGACAAGGTTTAAAGTTTTGCGACATGATTTAAAAAGCTGTAAGCGAAATCTTTAATTAACGATAGAACACCGTGGCCATCATAGATACAAAAAGGGGAATGAAGGCGTTGAGAGGTTCAAAGATAAATAATCCCTTAAACGTGTAAGCTGAAATTCAAATCATGACTTCGTCTAAAGAAACAAATGACCCTTCATCTTAACGCAAATTTTGAAATGCAAACAAATGATTGAATCGGTCTGTCAAACTGAAAAGCTTTCAGTGCTCCCCAGCTTTCAAAAGACACCCGGTTATCTTCAAACTCTACCCAACTGCTCTAAAAATCATTCGTGTTGCCTCTGCTCTCCCTCGGATGCCGAACTAGGTGAGTTTATACCGTGGCATAACTATTTTTTTTTTATTTGAGCGAGCGGATAAGAATTGTAAATAACGATGACAGAACAGGCGCAAATAAAAAGCTCGTTTTGCACGCATACACACTATACTTATGCAACTCTAAATTTGTATGATACTATTGAATGGAGGGAAACTTTGCGTCGCAAGCACGCTGCTTAACGTTTTCAAATAGTTTTGAAAGATGTGATGATTGCTCATAACCCGTAGCAGATCTAGGGGAGGGGTCCGGGGGACTCTTTATACTCCTGGGTGAAGAGAGGCAAGAATACAGTTGACCTCTGATTCTGTATTCATGAAAATAATAATATACTTACAAAAAGCAGTCTTTCTTATATCTACTGGTATGTATTTTATTGGAATTCGGAAAACTTCTAGTATAATAACATAAATTTCTCTTGAGATTGCCTAGTAAACATACTATTCAAGCCATTTGCATAGTTATTCTTGAAAGTTCCCTGTTCATGATTAGCTACTCTTTCTTCTTGCTGTCAATATACTTTCTATATTTGCATCCTTTTTAAAGGATGATCTGTAAAAATCATGTTGAGAAGTTACATGTTCTCTTCTTCTAAGCTAGTAAGCTTATAAAGACCTCCCTTCACAACACAGTGTCTGGCCTGGTTTCAAGCCTTTTCTTCACAGCTGGGATATCTCGTACACGCTCATAGAGGCCTCGTAACAAGGGAAAATTCTCTAATTCAGCTGGGTATCCTTTAATCTTGTCCTTAGCAACCCAGCTGTTCAAAAAGTTAAAAAATGATATGTCTGCATAGGTTAGCTGAAGGATAAAAAAAACAGAATCACATTTAGAAAACTGCAAATTAAAAAACTGAATATTTCAACATCATTCTTAAACCACTGTGTGACAGAAAGAAAATTCAGTATAGAAGAAGACACCCAAACAGAATTTTTAGGGAATACTACTCTGCGTTGTTTCAATAAAAGACTTTAAAACATTCAGTAAAAACTCTTTTTTGGAACACTTTTATTTAAGGAACAGCCTGCTCAAAAAACACAACCTTTTCAAAAATTTGTTCCTTTTACCTTCACATCTGTTACCCTTCAATAACAAACAGCAATTATGAAAATATCACTTAAGAGAGACTACTGGCAGCTCTATTCCAATGCAACTATAAGAGAAGTTAACTAAACCTTCAAGTACCTTTTTCCCAACAAAAAATCCTTGCCCTCCTTCATTTGCTTCAAGTAACTTTTGAAAACTCTTCAGAGCAGATGGTAGGTGAGACTCTAGAAAGTCCTTTGAGAGTTTTTCCTGCATGATGGTATTAAAAGTTATGTAGTAAAAATAAATTGATGTTTTTTTAAGGCCTGCCTGGTAATTCTCTTGTTTCCACTATTTATTTGCCACGGCTTAGTTGGCACACTTTCTAGCTGTGACAAAATGCTACATGTAGTGGCAGAGGTATTTCATGAAGTAATAGCCAAAAATTCTCCATATCTTAATAAAAAATTTAGGTCATTCAAATTTAACAAGTGAATTCTTTATATTTGCCACTGAAATCTCCAGTCTCCATTGCTTAGTTAATGAAACTCCTTTTCAGGGCTTATTTTAGTGTAAAGAGAGAGGAATGAGATTTTCGAAAACAATCTGACAGTGGGAGCAGGGGAACATGATCCAATATCAAACATTGCCAGCTTTCAGATTTCTAGAATTTTACTCCTCTATATGATGGTTGAGTCTGGACAATTTTCTGTTAAGAAGGCATGGGAATGGAGTTTTTACATTAGCATTTACTGCTATTTTGTTTCATGAAAAAAGAAGAAAGCACAAGGTTTCTAGCTTTCCTATCTATTGTCAAGGGTCATCAGCCCTTTCAAATGTGTCATGAACTAACCTTGAGTGATGGATCCCTTTCAAAGTGTACATCTCTCTTCTTAGCCCTGATATCCATCACTGCATCCACAATTGCGTCGGCCTTTGCTTTGTCCAAGTTACTATCAGGTGCAAGTCCTGTAATGGTTAATTTATCCAGGGGTTTCAAAAAAATCTGGTGACCACTGGAGTCTGCTGGCTATTTCATAACATGTTGCAGTTACTCTCACTAGTCAAAATAATTACCTTTTGGCCCTTAGTGAAATTCTCACAGTCACTTACTTCTGCAGAGTCTAACCCCTACTTCATGATATATTGGAGGCCTTATTTACCAGGTAAAGTTATTGTTACCAGCACAATGCTCTTTTTGCTAACATTATTATCCTTTTTCTCCTTTGTATGATTATCACTGATTAACATCCTAAAATTCTCCTCAAATCAATTATTGCATCCTAACATTGGTATGCAAATTCTCCATGCTGTTCTTTCTAGATTTCCTAAGGTGCTGACAAGGAGAATTTGTTTAACAATCAAGAGCTTCTTCAGTTGGTGATCATTTCCTCTATTCTCATGACTTTACTGTTTGATTCAAGGGTGATATTGTAGAGAGAAATAAGATGCTAATCACTCTTAGGGACCAAAGAGTTAATACTGTGCAAATGATAGTCTGTGCTTCTGCTTGTTTAAACTGGGAAAAAGTTCTGTTCTTAATAAAATGTCTTGTTTTGGGGGAGTTTTCCTTATTCAAATGTGTCTGAAATGTGGGACAAGGAGACTTAGGCTTATTGCATGAGGTATGTAGACTGTGAATTGTGGCAGTGCAGACTGTTACTCATTTTTAAATGCAATAATTCTATAAATAAAATCTCACATTAAGATATTGGAGAGATCTCCGAAAATCATTATTTGAGTTGTCAAGCACAAGTATGGAAACTGAAATTTTGAATTGCAGTTTTGTGGTTTGACTTACAGTCCAGATCACCCTTGCTTTATGTAATGACATAGTGACATTTAATAATAATAATAAAGAACTTTATATAAGTGTCAGAGTAATTTAGCTATATATTAGGTAATTGTGGACACTAAAAGAACATTCCAAATACAAAATTAAAACAGGGATACTACAAGTGTTAAAATATATTCTAAAATTTGTAATCATTTTGAAAACAAGGAAGCTCTATGATAAAAATCTGAAAAAAATCCACACTATTTATTAATTTAATATTGGCTAATTAAAAGAAATTTGCTGTACATTTGTAACTCACCAAACTCATTTGCAAGATATCGTAAGATGGCCACAGACTGGCTAAGAACAATTGGTTCTGATTTGGCATCCTCCTTTATTTCCAGTATTGGCACCTGATTAAAGGGGCACTTCCCAGCTAAATGAACAAGCAGCCAGACAAATGAACAACATTATTCTTGAAAGTCATTGCAAGAAAATATTCAAACTAGGATAAATAACTCTGTATAGAAAAAAAAACGCGGTAATCATTCGGAATATTTAGATCAGTAAGACGATTGACGGTCTGTATCATTTTATTGATGGGACTAGGCACACTAAATCATTTGTGGATCAAAACTCTGTAACTCGGCCCCGACGCCAAATTATATGCGTGACCTTGCCGTGTTTTGATTCGATACAATTTGCTTAGAAACATCATTTATTAACATCATTTGCTGTTAACACACTCGTATATTATGAACTGAATTACGTCTAACTTGTAAATTTTACTTGACGATCGATGTATTCGCAGTCTTACACTAATGCACAACAATCGTGCTCTGCTCATATACAGCGCCTGAATTATCATTTCTGTTTCATTTTCATTCACACGTCTACTTACTCGCTTTGAAGGCAGGCCAGTCCTTTTCAATATCGACACAGAAGTCCTCGAATTCGACTCCAGCGATGAGAAAAGCTAGCCGAATGAATTCTCCGCGGCCTCGTGCGCGAAAATAGTAGAGTTTGTAAGATTTCTGAGACATGATAATTATTTCGTGACTTTCAATACTCGTGCAGTTAATGAGACCACTAGTTGAGTCACGTGTCAAGAACTGGGATAAGGGTTGACAAAAGATGCGCATGGGGCAGGAGCGGGGAGTGGGGAGGGCCGGAAAAGGCTTATTAATATAATTATTCTCTGCATGTAGGAGTTTAAAGAAATTGGCTGATTTCCGATGAGGTTTTTAGTAGCGTTTTAAAAATTTCTATTTTTTTTTTTTCATTTTTCCTCTTTGTCTGTTAAAGAATGTTCGTTTTAGCCTAAGTTCTCACACGTGGTTACCTCTGCCTATTTTGTGGATCCTTCACTTTGCCAAGAAGCGTTCATCACTTTTAATTTTCAACTTTATTTCATTTTTAAACATAAAATAATTAAAGAGCTTTGTCTGCTCACAAATTCTCCAGTTTTCCATCGTTTAGATCAAACTTAAGTTGTGAATAGAAAAAAAAAAAAAAAGAAAAAAGAAACAGTAACAACGTTAACCAAAACTAAAATTCATATGGGCAACCCTGGATTCCCCATTGGAGAGAACATAAAGTATCATAAACTAAAAACAAGAACACACGAATAAATGCACAGGAAAACAAAACAAGGAGGAAAATTATGAACCGACTTTCCATGTGTTTTGAAACAAAACAGTTGGTAAAATTTCCTGTGAGATGAACACAATAAATGAGCTAATGGCTTGGAATGCCTGCAAGAGTTGTGCTTAATCAGGTCCAAAAAAACAATCAAAGACCAACAACAGTCAAATCTTTTGAGTCGCACTTTATTAACTATGATATTGGACTGGCTGACTAGAGGTTAATTTTGTGACATTATCCCTTGTCTATTGCTGAAGGAAAATCATCCACAGGATAAGATAACGTCTCAATAGATGTAATCCACGAATCCATCTGTCGGATTCTTCAACTTCTCCAAAATCTTCGGCTGCGTTCGGACACGTTCGTACCAAGCCGACAAAGAGGGAAACTTTTTCAAACCTTCGGGAATTCCTTCAGCTTTTCCCTTCATGAAATAACTGTTTAAAAAGGTGAAGACCACGATATCGGCATAAGTCAACTGTAGAAAAACAACACGTTGATGTTAGTTATTGAAAACAACACCCACTCCATTATTGCCAGCAAGACCGCTGTCGATGATGACATTGTAGTCGTCATCATTATCATGTATATCGTGTATATCGTCACTGCTTTTTACACCGCCTTAATTGGTCGCTCATTGTTTTTGTTTCTATCATTAATATCATTATTTGCATAAACGCTTCGCCATGAGCCTCTTGGCCTGCAGATGAGTGCGAAGCCTTGGGGCAACGCGGGCCGGCGAGAGGTCTGGTAAGGGGTGTAGGCATGTTAGTACCAGACCCCTCGCAAATCTCTACCTGACTCGTCTCAAGTCTTCTTGCAGGTAGAGAAACATGCATCCTGTAGCGTTAAAAATGAGGACCTACGCGCATTAAAGTAAACAATTAAAATTACATTTGTTGATGTTATTTTCGTCATACTTGTGACCGTTGACTCGCCTAATACTGTGAGATGTTAAAAACAGGGTAGTTGCCGGGATAGTTTCTGATTAAAAATAATTGTGACAAATTTTTTTGGTATCTGGGGTGAGTCTAATGACTTGATTTGATGATCATTGTAGAACGTGAATGTTGCGAAATCGCGCCCCTTTTTGGCTAGGCAACTGGCAGGGTCTTATTATGTGCGATTCTGCATGAGCCATTCTTTCCGCGGGAAAAGTATGAAGTAGACCAGCGCAAGTGGGCGAGAGGTCTGCAAGGGTTGTAGGGCTGATTATCAGTACCAAGTCTCCGGCAAACTTCTCACCGACTCGTGTCTCAAATCTTCTCGCGGGCGGAGAAACACGCATCCATATACGCTAATATATCGAAGGCCTGCTCTCAGGCCACACTTGTCGGCCTACCTTTTCACCAATGAAGAATCCATTTTTATTAGCTGACAAGATCTTTTCAAAGTATCCACATTTATCTGGAATCACTTCTTCGGTGGCGGTCTTCATAGCTTTTTCCTGATTCATACATGAGGAAGAAAAAATTAGGTTTCGCAAACCACAAGTTAGTTTGTCTTCTAACCCTACCTCCCTGAAAGCTAAGATACGTGAGACTTCAACGCTCGCTCGTTCGTTCGTCCCGGAAGTTAACATCGTGATCATCAAACCTTTCTTTCCGGGTCTTTCTCCCCATACGCCTCTGTTAGTGTGGTCTCTAATTCGTTGACCACGTGAGCCAAAGAATCTGCCTGAGCCTGCTGAAGATTGCCTTCTGGAGCAAGATCTGAAAGTTAAATGCAGTTCGCGTTTGCATAAACATTCGACAGGAAAGGGAAAATGTTTAGGGAAAATGTTTGATTACATTGAATAAAAACAAACAAAACGAAAAAAACGGGCAAGTAGCTGGAATGTTTTAGCAGGTTACTGGGTGAATGGACTGTAACATGGTAAGATCAATTTCTAAATGACATTTTCATTCATATCAAAGTGGTACAGAGAAGAATCCAAGTTTTTCCTGAAGTTGAGTGGTTGGCGTACGTTTTCGTGAGACAACATCTTTCAACTTATTATTCATCGCTAAACCGTAGCTTTTATGCAAGCGCTGTCGTTCTCTTGGTTCGTCACCCAGTCGTCACAAGAATTGGGGATAATTTCATTACGGAGCGGGAATGGGTTGGAATGTTCATTTAACAATCTTCTATTAAACGAGAGTTGATAAGTATGTTTATTAAAAATAAGAGATGATCGTGACTTACTGAATTCCTTAGCCAAATAGCTTAAAATAGCCTTGGATTGTGTGAGGACTGTGCCATCGACCTCGAGGATTGGTAGCTGTCCAGAGGGGCTTAATCCAGCTGACAAAATAACAAAACAAAGAGACCTTTCATTACCTTTTGATTTGGGTCTCCTTACAACGAAACCCCACCTCCATTCCATTTCCCGTGGTACCTTTGAGACCTAGATTAACCAATCCTTCCTCCTCACCCCTCCCTCGGGAGCAGCACAAAGGCTCTCCTATCAGGCACTTAAATCGCATATTTTTTTTACTAACGATTCGTTTTGTTTGACAATTGATTGTTTCTAAATGACGTCCAAAACAAACAATTGATGACACAAAACTGCTGCGATTAAAAGTGTAATCATTCAAAAGCAATCTGACACTTAAATTTTTTTCGTAGTACAGCGATTTCGATCAAAGTCCTTTGGCGAGAAATACCCGTTCAGCAGTCAGAAACCATCTATTTCTCGGTTAAAGAGATTGTGAAAGCGTTGTTTGAGTAAAAGTGGCATTTCTTTTGTGACAGAAATTGACCGTAAATGTTTGTAAACGCGACCCAACTGGTTAAGATTTGCACAAGTTGACAGATTAGACTACGTCAACATCTCCTGAGGTTATATATTAAGATTTGAGATAATTCTCGAGCGAAGCACGCACGAATATTTTCTGCGCAGTCCATCCTACTGCTCATATCGTGTGACGAGGACGATAAACCTCGCACCAAACATTTTGCATCTTATATTCGCTGCATTTTTACATCGGCGTAGAGAACGCCACGTAACTCTTATTATACTCACAGTGTTTCAGCTTTGTAAACCACTCTTCCAGATTTACTAGGATGTCATCGAACTCAACTCCAGCCACCGCGAAAGTTATTCTGATGGCTTCGGCTCTTCCTCTAAGTGGAAAGTACGAAAGCTTATATTTCGGCATCGCCCTAGTGAAGATACGGACAAAGACTGCAAGGGGTCTGAGTATATGACGTGGTTTACTCTCGATGGAGACCGAGATGTGATGAGATGTGATGTGACCTTCGAGGGTCAACAGCGAAAGACAAAGCCAATTAGCGTGGTTAACGTGACTCCAAAGAAATCTGTCAAGCTTGTTTCGACAGAAGTGGGTAGAGCGTGGGGTTAAGGTTGGAATTTGATATTAAGAGATTCTAACATTGTGAATAAACCCGTGTGAACATCTTGTGATATCCTTGCACAACATGCAGATTATTGTGATTTTCACGATGATCTTTATACCGGGATTATATGCATTTCCTAAATGCGTCCCTAAACAAGGCCTTTTTTAAATCTCCGTTATTTTCCTCCCTTTCCCCCCGGGGGATGTGGATTTTTTTAATTCCGAAAAATGCCGCCGTGGCCTTCAAATTCTAGCCAACATAAATATGCATTTCGCTGCATTTTGTAAGACAAAAAAATATTGATAATTGTGGCATACCGATGACTAAATACTTTAAGTGAATTTTAATCGAGCTTTAATGGGAAAAAGGGGGAAGTAGTGGGGGCTTGGAAAGTAATCTAGCAGTACAACCCTCTCTCTTCAAAGGAATCCTAGTCCACGTCAAGAGAATGATAGAATGATATTCTCTTGCCCTTGTTTTTCTTTTATGGAGGGTAGGGGAGGGGGAAAGGGCACAGTGAATCCTAAATGGTGCCTTTTGACCACATAGAAAAAAAGCACCACACCCTACCCCCACTCCCTTAGTATTCCTCTCTTTGGAAAATTATAGGAGGTAAGCAACCTAGTAAGAGAACATCGTATTTTTACTTCTTTTGTTTTTGTTTCAAGAAAATTGCCACGCCATCTTAATCACTCGGCAAGAGAGGTTGTAAACAATTCGTACACGGAGAGACTACAAAGTGATGTTGTGTTTTCAAATTTATTAACCCTATTTGTTTGACTATAAGTGCTGAATTAAAATTACAAAACTATGTTCTAGTTTATTGTGTTTTCCGAGTCTCCTTTTCGTTCCATAACTATGGTTCAAGTATTGCATATCCAGTCACGTGTCCGTTCAGTATGGGTACTCGCCGAGATCTGGTCGCGGAGTCTTGAGCCATTGTTGAATCTTGGGTTGCGTTCTGACCAGTTCGTACCAGGCGTGTAGTTTGGGGAATGCCTTCAACTCCTCAGGAACTCCTTCAGCGCTTCCTTTCAGATAGTAGCTGTTCAGGAAGGTGAATACCACGATATCAGCATAGGTCAGCTGTGGGATGTTGATTAGTGTCAGTAAATATGACTGCCAAATGATTCTGTCATTTTATCTGAAAAGCCCATATCGGAAAACGGGCAATCAAATGAGTACTACAATGTACATACAAATTGCAATCCGTTGCGGCACCGCAGTGCTCTCCATTGTATTGCATTACTCTACAACATAACACTGAATTGTTTTGCACTGCATGGCAGTGGACAATGATATGTTACCTTATCTTCAAGAAAGAATCCCTCCTTGTCGTTGGCAGTCAAAAACTTCTCAAAATATCCGCATTTGTCTGGAATAACTTCTTTGCGAGCAGTTTCTAAGGCTTCCTCCTAGACAAGGGGAAATTATAACTTATTAAGTGCTACTGGAAACCAGAAATTCATGCAAATAAAATATGATCGACGGCGTTTTGTCTGAGAGTGAGTGATTTCACTAACCTTCACCGTTGAATCTTCGTGTCTATTAGCTGCGCTTAGCACGTTTTCCAAGTCATTAATTATGTGAGCTAAGACGTCTGCCTGCGCCAGTTGAAAATTATCTTTTGGAGCGAGATCTGAAGGAAAATATGGTTTCTGTGAACGAAGTATATTTCCTTACTGCCCACTTTAATGGAGAATTTGTCAAGTCCTCTTGCCATGAAAATACTCCGTAAGCCGTTCAAAGAGCGCGAAGGAGCGCTTACTCTTCTCGCAAAGCGGAGGTCCCATTAGGGGGTCTGAATATTCATTATCCTGATGATTTTTGGTTTAATTACAGTATCTCGTATCCCATTAATTCCTGTGGTTTAAATCCCGTAATCACTATTTAGTTAAATATCCTGTATCCCTATATCCCTATAATTTTTAATCAAAATCCCGTATAACGATAACCCCTGAGGTGCGTTTGGCCTTCCGAGCAAGAGCGTTGCGTGACGGAACCAAGTAACGGCTGCAGCGGTAACATAATCAGGAGCGTATGGGCTCCTGCATTAATTCAATACTTACTGAGTTCTTTGCCGACGTAACTGAGAATGACTTTGGACTCCATAAGTACTTTACCATCAACGTACAGCACTGGTAGCTGACGGGAAGGGCTTATTCCAGCTTAAATGAATTAAGAATAAAATATACCAATTTTTGTCGTTAGTTATAAATAAACGCGCTTGTGGTCGTAGAAACAAAGGCACGCATTACTATTTATGATTGTTCAGAAATCTATTTCAGTCATCGTGGCTCGCATTGAGATGTGAAAGAGAACAGCGCTCAGATCCAGATTTGGACGATTCATTTGAACCTAAGAGTGACTTATTGAAAAACTTGAAGACGCAGTTTAATTTCCTTCGAGTCTTCCTTCAGACTCCTTGTTCGAAGTCTCACGTAAAGGCCCATAACTTGCAAGAAAAGTCCGACATACGCGAGGTCTTAGCAGAAATGTAGATTTGGCCGAAATCTCAGGCAAAATACGAGATATACTACCTCATTTTACCTTAACTTATTTATGTCAGGAAAAAAATCGGTGCTGGAGCACACCCGGAATTCGGGAGCTAGAGGCCTGTTTGTCAGTCTGTAAATAACCACAGTCACTTTCTGTAAGTGTGAGATTGGGTTGCAAATTAAAATTATACTTGTATCAGCCAAGTGGCAGCAATCCTGTCAGGGCATTCAAGTTATTAGATCGAGGCGAATCTTAGGAGAAGCATAAAACCGAAAAAGAAGTCTGCATGGTAAAAACTGGAAGAATATCATAGGCAAATTATGTACTTAGGTTCTCTTGTCTGAATTACAAGAAAATTTTGAAGCAATGATTTCTCCAACCAAATAACAAAATTTATGTACAGAGCACCGTCATCGAGGGTGTGGCGCAGAGAAGGGTGAAACAAAGCGGAACAAACGAAATATGCTTTCGCAATGAATATGAAAGCGATCTTTGCAGTAAAGATTTCGCAATAACCTGTGGTCTGAAGATTTATCAACATCTATCGTGTATGTTTACAGAAGAAACAGAAAGAACAACACTCGACACACCCATACAAACTGTAATCTTTCAAGTCAGGCGTCCGTGGTTTGAATATTCTAGGCAACTCAGCTAAAAATTTGACGAATTAATTCTTAAAGTTAACAGAGGGTAAAGACTGAACACGAATTGAGGCTGCGGCGAGATCTGCACCGTCACGGTTCAGTGCGCTCCTTTGAACGTGGCTGCGAAGAGATATAATGGCTTGTTTGATTTCGGTAAAGGAACTTGATCAGCTAGGAAATTGTGGAACAAATGTTCATTTAGCGTTGATGAAAAGGTTGTCAGCAGGATATCCCTGCACAAAGCTTCTTTAATACAGCTGTCTCGGGGGTATCCAAGCTTTTCAAATACGCAATACTCAAATGACTACTCACAATTCTTGTATTTTGAAATCCAGTCGTCCATTGTATAACGTACGTCCTCGAAATCAACTCCAGCGGCGGCGAAAACCATTCTGATGGCTTCCGCTTTTGCGCGAAGTGGAAAGTAAATCAACTTGTACGAAGGCATTGTTTGCAGAAGCTGCAGGTAGCAAGCGAAACAAGAGCGTGTGGGGCGAGAAGCGCGTGGCGTCCGGAGACTTGTGATTTACGGATGATATCTTTAGATAGTATCCGATTTCTGAGCTCTTACTTGGTGTAGAAGACACAATTACGTCACAATAGAATTTAATTACAACTGGGAATATGAAACAATGAAAACAATAGTGTGGCGTATATTGTGTCTCTTTCACCAAGTAAGAGCTGATTTCTGTAGGGGAGGAGGCGGGGTGGGGGTGGGGAAGAGTATGTGTCGGAAAACACGATAGATGTTTGGAAGTTTATTGTGTCTATGACTCAATCGGAATCTCCTCTTAACTTGTTCCCAGACTTCTTAAAATCGAAAGGAAAAATGCTTGATAACTGACACTTTTATTGTAGCAAAGCTACTGGAATTGGAAATTCCGTCCGTCTATCGTCATGATCAATTTAGAGGAGATACTTACTCTTTAATTGCTTTCTAAATTCTGTTTTTATTCATCGATCAACTATCTATAAGTTGGTAGAATCATGTAACAGTTGGTGATCATTTGCTTAATTCTTGTTTTGTCAATGTGTGGTTTAGGGGTGATATTGTAAGGAGAAATCAGATTTTAGTTACTCTTAGGGGTTAAAGGGTTAATGATTGTATCCACGGCTGATTGGTCTTTACAATGCTGTTTCAGGGCGTTTCTCGATCCACTCCTTAATCTTAGGTTCATCTCTGACTTTCTTGTACAGAGTAGTAAGGCGAGGGCAATCTTTCAGCACGTCTGGAGGATCCAGTTGGCCTTTAGCAATGTATGAGTTGTAGAACGAGAAGAAGCAGATGTCCGCAAAGCTCAGCTGAAACAAAAAATGATTAAATGATTATTATGTATGAAGCCACTGAATAATTATATATATGGAAAGAAGAATTCAGAACAAGTTCATAAAGTCTGCCTATAGCGATAGCGGACTAGTCAGGGGAGGGTGGGGGTCACTAGAGCCTTAGTGAGGGGATCAGGTAAATTATGTTGTGGCAAAACCAAAATCCTCCGACCCCTCTCCCCCAGGTGTTGAATGATATCAGGTCCTAAGGATAAAAATGGTCTCGGAACAAGGTAGACAGTCGTCAAGGTTGCGACCTCTTGAGAGCAGAACCACTTGCCTTATTTCCAACACAGTAGACTTCATCTTTAGAGTTCTTTTCCAAGATCTTTTCGAAGTACTTAGTTTGCCTGGGTAAGGACTCCTTATTAAACTTTTCCATCAGAACTTTCTGTGGATTTTAAAGAAACGAAGAAATTAAAGAATTATTGCAAAGAAGCGATTCGATTGGATATTCTTCAAAACTGAAATTTGAAAACGAAACCTACAATAACATCAATAATGATATTAAGGAAACGATGCAGAAGCAATTTATTTATTGCATTGTTGTAGCTAAAAAAGAGAATTACTTTCAAAGTCACAAATTAACTTTATTAACTTTATTTAATTTCGAAGGGCTGTATACTTTGGAATTTGGTAAAACGATAGAATTTTCGGCTTCTTTCAAAGAATTCTTTCTTTCGGACGTTTACAGTCACTGCGGTACACACGTTGAATAAAAAAACTGCCCTTGCCATCCCTCCTTCTATATTTTCCTCCTTAGAAGCCCTCTGACTCTCTTGATAAGACAACGAGCAACCTATCTTTCTTAGCCCAGTCCGTTACACGAGTCACAGGAAAACAGCGCAAAAAAAATAATAAATAAATAAAAAAATAAAATAACTGACCGCCTTGCAAACCATGCTCTTTCCTCCCAGAGATCTTAGCGCGCAGTTCATCTTTTCGTTTCTCTTTCTCTCTCCACTTTTTTTTTGCTCTTTTTCTCTTATTTCTTTTGATTCGCTATATTGATTCATTTGGAGAATAGGAATTTAAGAGTAGATTTGGTAGATTTGTACAATACCTGTTGGGCCGGGTCAGCATGGACAATGGCACGAACGATCTCGTTCTCTAAACCATACACTCCTTCAGCAAACATGTCTGCTTTGGCTTGCTGCAGATCATTACTGGGCATCAAACCTGTAAGGAACAAAAATGGACCTCTTGTTACTTAGAATTATTTCTTAGCCGTGAAATTCACTTTTCGAGAAAAGTTAGGTTACAGATTAGAGAGTAAGCGAGTCTGGAGCGCAGTCCATTCTACATTGAAGTAAATTTGAACACAGAAAAAAATTCTCATATAAAGCCGGAAAACAAATACCACTGAAGTTTCCTTCCCACACATCACAGCGATATGAAACAAAAAAAAAGTAAGCTACTCAAAATCACAACAAAAACAACAAAAAACAAGTAGAAAACAAAAAACTTTGACGTCAAGCGTTTTCGAAAAGCATATGTTCTACGTGTTACCGTCCTTACTAAAACAAACTCTTGTTTTTTGTTTTTGTTTTTTTTTTTTCTAATTTCTACGGCGCTTTTCATAACTCCGTTTTCGGTGGGTAGTTTATGCGTAAATTTGACGTAAATGTAGGATCAGAAAATACGTTGCGTTTTCAAATTCATCTGGCCTTATATGGACGGGGTCTGGTAATATCCTGTGTGTAGGTGCAATACCAGTCTCTTACGTTGGCGTTCATATGGATGTCACGCAACGCTCCTTCCAAGAGAGGGCGTATAGCGTGACATCCCAAGGAACGGCTGCGAAAGAGATCACTGAAATACTTACCATGTCGTTTGGCTACAAACCGAAGGATAGCCATGGACTCGCAAAGGGTCACTCCCTCGACTTCAAGGATAGGTACCAGTCCAAAAGGGCACTTTCCACCTGTAGAGAAAACAGCGCTCTTAATATTGTTCAAAAACACATTTATCTTATACCTCATGATACTCGATGTAATCGATGTTCTAAGATTAGAACTTACTGTGTTTCAATGCCAACCACTCTTCGCTTTTAAGATCAAACGGGATACGAACATCTTCATAATCCACCCCGGCGTATGCCAAAACAAGTCTTGTAGGCTCTCCCCTGGCTCGGAGATTGTAGTAGGTCAACTTGTATTTAGACGCCATTTTCGCGATGAACGTACAAGTGTTTACTCAAACCAAATGAGCGACAAAATGAATTAAATACTTGGCTGATTCTCTTATTTATATGCTGATCTAAAGCATATCGAGGTCACGTGCTATGAATATATGTTGACTTTTCGTAACCATTCGATCAGTAATTTCAAACAAGGCTTTTACAAGTTATAATCAAACGCAGGTGACCTTTACTTTTAGGTCGTGAAAAGAAGACTAGATTCATGCATCTCACTTACACCTGCGTGCTGAAAAATTTTCTTTGCTCGCTGACCCATGTTCTGCTTCAGGAGATCCATTGTCTTGCTTCAGACTAAGCATGACTCAGCAAGCTTTGACGCTTCAACGAAAATATTTGCATATGTAAGAAGAACCTAGTCATGAGCCAATATCCCGAGAGGTTTGTCATCATGATGGAGCTTTCTTCACTTTCTCGAAGTTAGTGATTAAGAATCAATATCTGGAAATTTATTTTACGGAGACTCCTCAAGGTTTTAGATCGCGCTAGATCTGGACGCTAACGTGGCGAGGGGTTTAAAAGTGTCAATAACCGAAAGAAACATGTCATGTTACGTTATGTTTTGGGAGTAAGTAATAGGAGATTTTTCAAATAAGATTTATCGCTTTTCCTTCGGTAATCTTTTTTTGAAAATTGGGTAAGTCCAAACCACATACAGTTCTTATCAATTAGCCTATTTTTTGTTAAAATCTGTTTGAGCTAATCAAATTTATTTAGAAAAATGAAAAATGAAAGAATATAGGTAAAACCGTCTGAACGACCTTAAGTTTTTACCATTTCCAAAGGCAATATCATTTCCCAAGAGAAGAGAATATCAACTCAACATTTGATATTCTCTAGTATTTCCACAATGTGGCAGAGAGTAGAGACATTTCGCTGAAGGAAAGTAAAGATCTTTAGGTATTTAAACCAAAAATCAAAATATATCTGCCCGTCACAATAGATGATGTTGCCATGGTAACATCTAAAAATTAACAGAAAAAGCCTTGCTATATCGTTAGCTGAACTGGTAAATCTCTTGAGATGTGTGGTTTGATTCCTAGCAATTGCGACAAGAGAAACCTTTCTGCATTAAAAAGCTTTCTTTAGTCAAATAAAACATCCCAACGGGAGAAGGACGGGTAGGGGGTTGAGGGTAGGTTAAGGGTGCATTTTTTCATGCCTGCACAGGGAAACTAGGTTATATCTCTTTATAATCAGACTTAATAGTTACTTTGATTAGGGTTACAGAGGTTAGGCTTAAGCACTTCAAGTCCATTTTCTCCCCTGTGATGGCCAATTTGAGCATAACGGGAATAGCTCATTATTTGAAAAAAAAAAAATAAATAAATAAAGAAAGAAAGAAAATAAAGAAAAAAAAAGGGAATTGGAGAGGCTAAATTAAAGTGATGATATTGATAGCCTTTCTATCTCTGCATTCTTTGTAATTTCTTTCGAGTCTTTCAGTTCTGAAAAGTGGAAAAAAAACAACTCGCTTGTTGTCTTCTCATATAATTTATTTTAAAATTAAATATTGTCATATCCAGACTGAATAGCATTTCAACCCTATTTAACCACCTGCTTATACATGATGTACATATTTGAAGCGATGTTCATTTTCTATTAACAACTCTTAAATATCTACAGTTTTTGACTTCATCTAAGGCTTCTGCTAGTGATTTACTCTCAATTTGGTCTCTCCTTTGTTGAACTGGACAGGATCTTTTGAAATCGTCTATCAGATTTTTCGCTTTCCTTGCCGTTTTCTCTGAATCTTCAAATTTTCGACGCAAAGCATGAGAGACCAGTGGAGTCGAAGATAATGTAGACCCATGGTCGTTACTCTTTCGTCGCGAGGAAAATTCCTCAAACACTGTGTCCTCAACTAAGGATATCGAAGACGTGAAGCTCACACTTTTAGAGACGGAAGGTCTTTCAGCTGAATCAGAATGTTTTTTAGACAGGATCGGCGAGGTTGGCGCACTGCGAGTTTTGATCAGCTCCATTGAAACTGGCCACGATGGCCATGGCATTCGTTTGCGCCGTAGAAATTCTGGAGTTCTCGGAGCAATCGGCGTCAAATGCACCCGCGCAGTGCACGATTTCGGTCGGGTTAGTGATTTTTGAACGGTTGAGTTAGAGATCCTCCTTTGTCTAACATCGTTACAGCTGGGGATGACATAATCCCGGCTAAGTCGCGCTGAATCCAAGTTAGATTGGCCAGATAGTGAACTTTCTCCTCTCCTTTTTCCAGACGAGATTTTAGGCAAGGTAATATCTGGCAATGACGCGCATTTTTCCTTGGCATCTTGAGAAAGGATCCTTAATGGTGATGATTTTAGCCGGTGAAGTTCTTGATCGCAGCTCAAGTCATTAAAAGATCGTGACAGACTGCTTAGGCTATGATTTGCCCCATCAACTTTAACGAAAGAACCATTCATTTCATATGCTTATTTTATGGCTCAAGTTTTCGTACGATTTTCTTTCACCGATTTCGTCGGTCACCCCGCGCCAAGACGAATTAAAGAGTAAAAGACGCTCGCTTTGATTCTATCGATGAGTTTCACCAAAGCAAACTATGATGAAAAAACCGTAGTGATGTTTCAATATTGGTATCAGCACACCTGTTCGTCACACGCCAAATAAAGCCAGTCTCTCCAAACTGTCATCCGAACTGAGAAGCGTAAAAACCCTTTGCGTTTCTCTTGCCAAACTTCATCGTTGGCTCATCATAGCCTCTTTTGATAACAGCAATGAATCCGCTTCGTTACCATCTTTTGTCCTCATTAGATCCGTGTGATTAAAAAGAATCCCTCCTACCCTTATCTTTTCCTCATTTTTGAAGTTTTTATCACCGAACGCCAAATGAAGCAGGCCATTTTATGAATACATAAAAGCGTCACGTGTGTTAATTGTTTTCAGGTAAAAGACCAACCTCTTGGATAAAACAAAGTGAGACTAATCCCGTAATGGATCGATCACCCACTCCAAAATGGTCGCAATAGTTTTCGGTGAATTCGAACATAAGCCTCCTTTTCCTGGAGATCCATTCCTGTCTCTTCTTTTATGAAATAGCCGTTCTTTAGTTGTAGTTGCTAATTATTTCTTGTTAAAGTTTGCACAAGAGGGAAGCACTTGAATAAAGCATCCTGTCGTCTTTGATGAGAAGGCAATAACCTTGATTCTGATCCAAAAACTCTTCGACTGAAACTCTAACTTCAAAGTAATGATCTAGGAAAGATTTTTATTATTTTCGCCAAACCCGCAACAAGAACAAAAAACCAAACCGAAAAAAGAAAAAAAAACAAATAAACAGAAAAAGCTTAATATTCATTAAAAGAAAAGCGATGCTTTCGACAGCTGACTCTATTTTAGATTTATGGCCTATTTTAAATTTTCTGCAAGAAACATTTGGTTTTAAATCATTTAAAACGACTCTCATTTCACAAACTTAAACTAATGCAGCGCGATTCCTATTATAGGCCTAAAACACAGTTGGGCCAAATATCTAATAGAGATATAATTTCATCCTCGTTAAGGTTTGTTTTCACATTGTTTGTTTGATATTCTTGTATTTTTCAATAAACGTAAAATAAATTAAATTGAAATATTTTGCACAAAAATTGAAGGTAGATAAAAAAAAAGAAAGTAAAATTAGCTCTAACGCTGGAAAACGTATTTTAAGGATGAAGCTAAAGGCAGATGGCACCGGAAAATAATTAGCATCTGAAGGAAAGAAGAAAAATAATATTAAAAAATTTGGTTCAGTTATTGTAATCACCACTCAGTGCGCCGAAAAGAGCATCAAAGTGCATTTTGTGTTGAGAAAATTGATATTGAGTCGTGTTGGCCTAAGAGATTTTTTTGTTTTTGTATTCGTGCATTCACTTCTACAGAGCCAGTATGGCTATTATCAATGAAATGAAGAGCTAAGGTAGCGCCTTGGCTCGAGGTTTAGAAGTTAATGACACCCATCAAATGTAAACTTGCCGACAATAACATGGTTATTCCACACCGACAGCAACAACCAAGAAAACCCGGCTACAAGACGAAGACCAGGACGGTAACAATACTATTTATCGTCGTGGCTCGAATTTCTCAAATAACGGCAATTCCTCAATTCGTTCATCATGTCAGAGAGTGATTTCCCTTGGTTTGTCTCTTGTCTAGATTCTAATTCTGAGAGCCCTGTTGCAGAAACTTTTCTGCTGCCTCTGTCAATCAAAACCCGTGTTGCCAAGGCAGCTTGACTCACGCGTCGTAAATTTGTGATACCATTAACTGAAATATTTCCAGAGCTGGATCCATTCTCAGATTTGCTTCTTGTTTTTAATCCCAGGGTGTTTGTGGTCGTTTCCTCCGCTCCTGCTACTTGTCTTAAATAGCTTTCTGTCGGTCTCTGCAGCTCCTCTAATCTAGCCTTCGTCAGAATTTTTTTGTCGGGTGATATACCAGTTTTTGGGTTTTCAGGGCTTGCTTTGGTAGTTGCACTGCGGAATCTTTGTGCCGCAATCACCACAAGCGCCAAGGGACGAAAGCTTCTTAATCCATCTATGTTTTCTCCAGTTTCGCTTTTTGTTGAATTCTGGTCCTTAAAACTCTCTTCATATCGCGATATTCTCGAATTCCGGTTTATCGCTCTTCCGGGGGGTGCTTGCACAGTCGAAATCTTTCTCCTTGGAGTCAAGCTTTTGTCGCTCCAGGCGTTTCCATGGTGATGAAGCCCTCCCCTTGCACCTGCTGCTGTTGTTGTCGCGATTGTTAACTCATGCAAATCTAGTTTTCTTTGATCTCTTGATAAGCTTCCTTTTCTTTGAAAAGTGTTGCTGCTTTCTCTACTGGTTTCTACTTCAACTTCCTTCTCCAAGTAAATATTGCTTATTCCTCGTGACAAATCCGCTTCCTCAAGCTCTAGAGTTGAAAATTCCCCAGAAATATGACCTCCGCTTACATTTAGTCCGGCTTTTTGAAATTGTCCATTTGCAATTGATGTTCCAGGTGCTACTCTGGGAATATTTTTATTTTCTTCTTTTCCCTGTGACTTAATATTAATGTCAATATCATTGGGGTGACTTTGAAATCTGGTCCAATTTCCATTTGAAATTTTCCTTCGATTCTCGAGTACTTTTTTGGGAACGCTTGGCAAATTATCTCGTCGATATTTGCTTATGTTTTCCGATGTTGTCTCATTAACCATTCTGGATGGTGCGTCGATGCATAAAGATAAACCAGTCGGCAAATGTTTCTTCGTCATTGAATATTCCGCTTCAGATTTCGTGCAAGATAAATGGTCGTTGAGAGAGCCAGCTGACTTTCCACTCGGTATCTTGGCGTTCAAAAGGCTGCCACTGGATCTACTTTGACTGAATGTATTGCTGTTATCGATACGCGAATTTGAATTTACAGAATAATGGTGAGGATCTCCGGAAGAAGCCGCTAAATCAATATCAAAGGGAGTTAGTTTTCTCCTTGGAACGCTGACAGCTTGGCGCTCTCCATAGTCGGTTTTCCGACCTGAAAAGTCTTCTGGGTCACTCACTTTCCTATCACTGTTTATATCACTAAAAAGCGAGGCTATACTGCTTTTAGATCTTGTATCGCTTGGAGCAGATACTTTCCGGACTCGGCCGTGAATTTCTGGTAGATATGAACTTTCTGCACTTACAGAATCATAGCTGGAAAAGAGGTTGGTACGCGAGGATCGTCTCTGCCAATGTTCCATAACTGTGGCTTTTTCGTTTTCACTTCTGACATTTTGGGCCAAAAAATCCCTTGCTAATGTGTTCTGTCTGCTTGAGATCTTTTTGAGGCTTTTGTCTTGCTCTCTTTGAAACTGGTCCAATTTTTTCCGCAGTATGGACTGCTCGTGGAAGTAAGCTACAGAAACCTTTTCTGTTTGCGCAAAATCAGTATTTTTCCTCTTATCCATAGTACTTGGCTTTGAATATTGTTGACAAAGTTTTACTGCAACGCAATCCAAGTCAAATTCATGAAGAGTGTTTGTTTTAAACGGAAACTAGCATGGATTAGCCTTCAGAGCGGATTTTTCCTCGATGCAAGTTAATGAAAAACTGTCTCCCCATGATACTTTTCCAAGGTGAATCGATTCGAAGAAAATTGCCTCGTATTTACCCCGATTGCTCAGACGAAAGGACAAAAAGACCACAAAAGGGACTTACCAGTCAGTATATCTGTAAAAATACCATGTGAAATAAGGTCAATTTAATGTTTACTATTCATGAATAATTTACATGAAATCTGTGTGATGTCTCTATCAATGTAATTCTTGGCACTTAGATCTTAGTCTAAATTAAAATTTAAAAAGAAATTTTTGCCCTTATAATTCATATTCGTGTGCTTTTTACCGTTTAGCCCCGTGAGTAATGGGTCAAAACATTGTTAAGTGTTGATTTTCCAGTTAAAGGTTTTTGTAGCAAAAGAAACTACCGGCAAAGGTCTTAATAACTTGATCTCACTTAATACCTTGAACTGACAAAAATTTGATTATGTAAAAAAAAAAAATAATAATAATTCAACGACTTCCATGACTTGTCACCCGCAAACATGATATTTAGTATGGCGCAAATAAGACACTATTAGCATTTGTTTTCGGTTAGGAAAATAATGTGCCCGGAAAGCAAGTTTACAAAAGTCGCACCTACAATTTGCCTGACTTCTTCATCGGATCGAATAATAATTCAACGACTTCCATGACTTGTCACCCGCAAACACGATATTTAGTATGGCGCAAATAAGACACTATTAGCATTTGTTTTGTCAGTACTTTATCATTAACATCAGGGAAAACAAGAATTTTAATCGGGCACAAGCCGATGAAGAAGTCAGGCAAATTGTAGGTGCGGACCTTTGTAAACTTGCTTTCCAGGCACATTATTTTCCTAACCGAAAACAAAACAACTAAACCAACAAGAAGACAAATAAACACACAAGTGTTAACATTCTTTCAAAAACACAGATAAATATGAAATTCCACCCCGATTCTCTAAGAGCAAAACGAGAATTTAAACTTCAAGCCTGCGATGTAGAGCATAAACTAACGATTGGTTCCACTAAAAATGGGCGAGACAATAGAAGTCTGCTTCATATTGTTCACTTAAACTTTTATCTTTTCATGAATTGTCTTTAAAGTAACATAAAGATAATGTATACAAGATAAGTGCAGTAATTGTTTTCTTTTTTTTGTGGTTCACTCGACGGAAAAATCCATTTGCCATATATTTCGTTTTGTAATAGTAAACAGGAAATACGATAAAAGATTACTTTTTCGAAAATAAATAATAAATTAGAACTTTTCAGTATGTTATCGAGTATGATGTAATCATTGCTCCAAAGGCTTAAAAAAAAAAATTAAGGAATTATTCAAATTTACTTGCTTCGGTCAACAGCCGTTCATTTGAAATATTTGAATGCGTTTGTCATTATCATATTTGCTCCACAATTACACCAGTTTCACCTTCATAATATAGATGTAGCTTTTGCTTAAAATTCGATAGGATATCATTGAGGTTCTTTTGTTTCATTCGCCGTTTGAAATTTCTAGAAGATTAGTGTGCGCCATGCCTCCTTTTTAGACTGGAAGTTTTCTGTTTTATTGATTTCTATAAATAAGTTAAGCTTGCTTCCAAATTTGTGGATCATCATCTAAAAAAAATCAAATCAAAATAACGACGATTGAGAGTGATTCTTTTGTTTCCACAACACGAAATGAAATTGTTTCCCATTTCATGAGTCAGCCATGGCAACTTCTAACTGCATGTGTCACATTCGGTTGTAATATCTTGATTCCCTCGATTTTTAAGTTGTACCTTCCGCTAAATTCGGTTACTTTCTTGGTTTTCCTTGGAAAATCTTAAGTATCGACAACATTTTAAATCATCGATGCCCTTTTCATTGTTCTCTGGAGTAGCATCGTTCACTTCCAATTCACCGTTTTGAGATTTTTGGGAATACTTCGAGGTACTGCTTGATGATTTTTTTTCGTAATCATTTTTAAACCAGGAGAAGGAAGAACCTCCATCACTTGCTTCTGTCTTAGTAAGAATTTTCTTGCCGGGAAAATTGAGCAGCCTTTTCGGATCTTTGGAGAAGCTGTGTGATGGGAATGCCTGAGTATTAGATGTCGACTTGGGTCGATGAACATAACCTCCTGAATCAGCTGGGGATTCCAGTGGGGTTGTTTTCGGGCTCTTTTCTACGAAACGCGGTGAAATACGTCTTCTTTCCGAGACCTCATCTATGTTTACACCTCGAGTTGAAGTAGAAATATTAATTTTCTTTCGCATCATCTCTTGCGTGGTGATCAAAAGCGGCTGCAGCATTGTAATTGGAGCTGTTTTAGACCTTTCCAGTTTTTTATGTTCTGTAAGCTGCCACTTGGTTATTTGAGCACTGTGTGGCGAGATAGTGGACTTTATTCTCGGTTTAAACTCTTCACGATTGCTTGATGCTCTTTCAGCCGAGTTTCCAATGCTCTGAACAACATGATGCTCATGTTTTAGGGTGGGGAAGGAGCATGTGTTTGTACTAGTGTGTGTTGTCGATCTATCCCCTAGATCTGGAAAACTTTGCGAACGTCCAAGTTTTAATTTTTGTTCGTTAGTAATAGGAATTTTAGTAGAGTTACCATATTCACTTCCCTCTACGCTCTGCAAAGAATGGTTTCCATATAATGGATCTGTCGCTAGTTCTTTCATAGATTCTCTGATTTCAACAAGTTTGCTAGAAACCTGGGCGATCTCCTTTTTATGAATCTTGCGATAGGCGTTTATCTTCCGGCGAAGAATTTTATCTTCATGCTCTTTTAGGGTAGAAATTCGCTTGGTGGCTGATGGCCCATACGCATCTCGTTCGACAGACTCTTTGGAATCGTGCGAAGACATGATAGAGAATGCTTCTTTTCAGTGAAATTCAGACTGAATAACAATCATTGTGGCATTGCCTGTTTGAAACCAAATACCGATCGAAAATGTCAAAACCTGTTAAATTTTGAATTAATTGTTGGCAATTCGTGACTCTTTCCTTAAGCCTAGCACATTTAATCGTGGCCTTTTTTATTACCTTCACTATCTCGCAAAATTTGACAACGATAATCCCCCTTTTAGTGTTATATACAAAAAGCTTTTCCTTTATTTCTTTCCTTTCCGAAGGTGAACGTCATTAACTCAGCTTGAAGTTTAATCAATTTCAGCATTTTTGACAGGCAAATTTGCAGCTTACTCGTTTGTTTTGGGGTCGTTGCCGGGAGATTTGAAGGGCTTGTTCAACATTTTTTTACCTCCTAGTGGGCTTCAGGCAATTTTGCCAAGGGCCACCTGCTAAAAATGACTGACTGTTTGTCAATTTCGTTGAGTTGTTAATATCTTCATTTTATTCCTTTCCGAATTTCTTCTGCTCTCAGATTCCATGTTGCTTAAAAGAGAGAAGTATGCCAGTTTTCACATCGTATACTTTACATCTTTGCTGATCTTTTACAATAAAATTGATGCGCTCATGACAAGAAATCATTTCCATAAAAAAAAAATATAAGCATTTCCTGAAGCGTTTGTGCAAGAAAAACATTGAATTGATCTTTCTGAATATTTACATATTTCATATTAATTAAGTATCATGTACCAGCTATTTCATATGCAATTGAAGATGATAGCAGAAAAACTTCCTTTAAACATAACTAATCATTTCTAAAAGTGAATGATGGGCTACTCAAAGTACTTTGAAATAGTGAATGGTTTCGTCAATTGCATTGAATATCTACAAACATATCCTGAATTAAGTGGTGTGAATTATCTCTACTATTATTGAAAATATTTCATAACAGACTCTTTCATGTCCCAGATTCTATCCTCTTTCCATTCTGTACTCCTTTGTTTTTATTTGGTACCGCGGAAATTTATCACATGCTTATTGCATTGGCAGAGACCTCAGAAATGAGCACGTGCGGATGTTGACGTCACCACATCACGCGCTATTAAAGATCGCACTTTGGCCGGCTGAATTAGGGTTTAGTTCAAAAGTCGTTTTCGTTATACAAAATCTCCTTGTGGTAAATCTTCGATTTCCGCTACGTGTTTCTTCAGAAGAGAGCATCAAGCCATAGCGCTTGCCATGTTAAAACGCTAAAATCTCAGAGTGTGCTCGAAAGGTTCCAGCAATTGTTATGAAAAGTTATGTCTGATCGTCCTAGGATGTTAAGGTCATCGAAGTCAGTCTTACACGTGAGCAGCACTGACGCTTCACTCAAGGAATCAAGGTTCTATTGCGCATACAAAGGACTATGTACTCTTGGAACCGGCAGAGAAGGTATCTTACCTCATGTTTACACGAATCATACACACGTTTCTGTTATGGGAAAGACCTCTGCACTTATCGCTACTTCCTTCTTTTTCTTTGAGAAAAGTAATACTCATGCCTTGCATCAATACAGCCAAATCATTTGTCTGTAAACTTCTTGATCAGTTTATTTTCTTGGCTTTGGTTTGCGATCAATCAGGCTTGAAGACTATACAGCCAAAGAGACTTTCTTAGGAACAATTCTATTAAATGGATTGGAATTTTAAATCTATCAAGATCGCGTTTTCAGTCTTTTTATTTACTTGCTATTTGGATCGTGGCGGGTGTCCCCAAGGATGATCAGAAAGGACTTTGTACCATGTTTTATAAATAGCCTTCCTCTGGCTTTAAAAGTTATAAAGTGTGCTCACATTTTTTAACTTGTAAAGTTTGCTTTTTTTTTATTGAGACATTTACTTTACCTCTAGACTGTTGCCGTGCGAAAACTGGTAGTTAAATGTACAAAAGAAAATTCAAGTGGGAATTGAGGTTTTTGGGTACACTCTTTCATGGAAGACAACGGAAGTATGAAACTGTGAGTAAATTCACCTCTACTTCAGATTTTCAAGTTCACAATGACTCCAGCGACGAATAAGGCACTCAACTCTTACGCGTAATAAGCACAGGCAGAAATATTGTCTACAGAGTGTACAATCTCGAAAGTCAGCTGTTTTCACAACAACTATCAACATATAAATTCCACGTAAATTATGCTTTTTTTTTAGAAAGGAAACCAGAAAAATTTATCAGCGAAAATAACATGGTCAAAGTCCAAATGGTGGAACCATTGTGTGACGCATTCTCTATTTTCTGTTTATGTTTTGGTTCATTTGCTAATCAATTACGACAGGAACTTCTTGCTTTGAATTCTATCACAGTTGAAAGGAAAATTTTTTTTTTTGGACTGAGTTAAGAATTTCGAAATTATATGTACCATTGCGTTGTGTCTTGGATTACGTTTGACCTTTCGGTAGTTTTACGAGTTGTAATTTGGAGAAGCTCTGTTTTCTCCAAGGTTGCATTGTATTAGTAACCATTCTGGGGCGTGCAGTCATGGTAACGTGATATCGAATATCCATGCAGATAACCCGAAGAGTCGAATACTTGTATTACAAAAATGGCTCAGAAAACTACACGGATAACGACTCCAACAGCAACAAAAACAATAAGCTTCGGAAATCTTCGAATTCGCCGCCAACAGCAAGCTTCGAAAATGTACGCCACAGTACAAACAACCACTCCCTTTTAGTGTTTGTGATAATACAGAAAGTTCGGCGATCGGTTTGTTACTTTGGGCCCTTGGAAAAGAACATGACAGGTCCTCTTCAGCGAAGCTATATCGCACACCATATATGCTTTATATAGAATTTAACACTTAAATTGACCGTTGAACATCTAAACAAAAGGTGCATGTGATTGGTTTGTGCTGTGCGAACTCTACAAATGAATACGCTTTATTTTCTGAGCTACATAATTGCTATCTACAAAGGTGTGGGCATAGACATACCAAGAAAAGATTTCACTCATATAAGCTATTGATTTCATCAATAAAGGCAGAATTCTTTGAGACAGGAGGCTTTCAGCTCCTGAAACAATTTTCACCCATGCCAATATCGGATCGTCTGGTCTGGACGCCGCTAATTTCATTAAAATAGGGCTTACTTTTGTATAAGTTTTGTTTCGGCTTACACTTGAAGTCTCGGTCGGCGTTTTAAAGTAAATTAATACATGTACTACATTTGAGGCAAAGTTTTCCTCCTGTCCTTTGGCAAAAACGATATGGTCGTGTCCATGGATATTTTCTTGCGTAGAAGACTTGACGTGGTTTCTTTGTAAGATGTAGCCTGCCTTTCCAGCCTCCGTTTTCGAGGGCTTTCACAAGAAGGAGGACTTTTCATAAAAACCATAACTTCGTTTGTACTGTGTGAGCCTTTCAGTTGTCTTTCCGGTGGCAAGCGTTTAATAAATAATTTGTCTTCAGTTTCACGTTGCGTTAACAACTTGTGATTAACAGTGTTCTTGGTTGAATTCCTTACATTTGATGACAGCGAGTTTGGTTTTTCACAGTTTATATCAAGTTCTGAACGATTGTCATTATCCTGTGAAACGTCGTAAAGAGCTGCCTCTTCCAATGGTGAGGCTCTGCGAGAAGAGGGCATGCCAGGCATCCGAGCCCTTTGCGACATGCTTGATTTAAAATGTTCAAAGTTAACTGCATTAGAGCCATTTTCTGCTGGAATGACTGATCTACTCAGTGGTTCAAGAAAACCAGTACTAACTGCATGTACTCTGTCGTTCTTCATCGGAGGTGGAACAATATGATTTTTATGAGTTGGTTGGTTCACAGTCTTACATTCTGAGGGAATTTTTCCAGCCGCTATTGTACCTACATCCATTGATCTCCTCCTACTAAACAGCGTTGGCTTGTAACCAGCAATTGTCCTGAGGTGGTTTAGTGCATCTGATTGCATTTCACCGACGCTGTAACTGCGTCTACGCTCACAGACCCTACCAGAAAAGGAACCCTTTCTTTCTCTCTGTTGGCGTGATAAATCTGTGAACGAAAAACTGTTCTTTACTCTTTCCATTTGATTCTCGTTGGTGGAGCCACTTAGCGGGTTCAAAAATATCTTTTCATTGCTATGCAATCTCGCATCTTCGCGTTGAAAGTTATTTGTGTGCAGAGCTGCCTGGCTCTTTCCAGTTACGTCAAGCGGACGTTCTTTGGAAGATATTTTCTGCCGTTTCAGTATATCATCTGCAGAGATTGCTGTGACGCATTTTAGCTCTTGCATAAACCTTTGCAACTCCCAGATATCGCCCTCGATGCTTTTCATCTGCTTTAGCTTTTCTTTCTCAAATCGGCGCAGCGTGTGCCGCAAATCATTATTCTGTCGGATATACGACATGGCAAGGCTTGGCATGTCGGAAGGCATTTCGCTTTTCTTGATTTGACTTCTCGTAGATGTTCGCCCAAGTTCGAATTCCATATTAGCCCGGCCTAAACGACAAACCTTGACCAGAAGTTACATGTACAATAACGTTCTGATTGTATTTCGTTTGCAAACGTCTAATGTTCTGCTTATAAAGCTGGCCATTAATATTACAAGTAAGACCCTCCTCCAGGTGGGGTTCTTTTTGTTAACGTTGAATACTTGAATCGAGGCCTTTGTTGAGGATTTCAATTTGGCGTCTACCAGTTCATTACTACAATAATAACCCAAAAAGTTGATATTGGCCTACGTGCTAAAAACAGAAACGTATAAGAAAGGGCTTTTATCTAAGAGCATTATTTTCTTGAGATAATTAGAATATTTGATGGGATTAGATCGTTGCTTTGTACTGTGAGTGAACTGTAAGTCATTATAAAGATAAAGGTTCTACCTTCAATTTAATTTTTTCAAAGAGTGGTTTATTGTTCTCGCTTGAGGGAACATAATGATCAGAGTAGTTTAAAGAAACGAGCTGAAAACTCTCCTTGCACAGACACATACAAATAACTGATTTAATGCTGTTATTTCTTTGGCAAGTTTAAACCTATTACGATTTTAAATATCTTTCAGAGAAGATTTCAGAGAAGATTTCAGAGAAACGTCTCTTAGGGTTTTTATTTAACTTTTAGAAAACAAATAATCAGTAATTGAAAAAAAAAACCTTTCAAAAAAAGTTCAGGGTTGAGGGCTACAGTCGGGGTCGACTATCATCAAAGAGGCACCAAAGAGGAAAGGATAACACGTAAGTAACGAGGCTAGCTAGGGATTGAAATTGTAAATGACTACAAAACATCAGGTTGGCAAGATGGAAATATACAATGATAACAATGAAGCAAGTTTCAATCGAGTGTTGAAAGTAATTCAGGATTGAATTGATTTTGCTTTAGTTTGCTCTCTGATTGGTCCAGAAACTCGCGCCACTCTATCAACCATGCCAGTCAGATGCAAAATTAACACCAATCACGACTTGTTCGCCCGCGTTTTCCCGCTCTTCAGACGGTTTTCTTGTTTTTACTTCGAGTTCTCATTGGGTTTTCAGGGTATTTTTCGTTCTGCTGACAAGCCTTTGTGATAACTTTGGTTTTCGGTTTTATGACTCTTATTCGAAAGGCGCTCTGATAGACCAAGAGAGAACAAGGACAAAGAATGCTGAAGATTTACGATTTACGAAATTGAAAAAAAAAGCTATGATTTTAAAAGGCGCACATATACCGTGACAAAGCAATTTTGGCCCCAACTTAATATGTTTGACAACAAATAATTTGTTTGTATAATAATAGTACGCCTAAACTTTTTAATTTTCTCTATTGAACCGATGCGACAGTTTAAAGCTCTTATCTAAACTGAATGTCAGTATTCCAAGAACAATGTTATCTTGTGGGCGGAAATTATAACATCTTAATTACCCCTAGTTCCGTAAACAACCACACAGAGTTACTTAAATGCATACTAAGCCATCTTTGCAAATTGTACGAATCACAATGTCTGGAACCATTTATTATTTTTTTTTGTTCTTCTCTTGTCACAAGTTAGAATTTTTTCCTTGACTACTAACCATTCAATAGTTTCTTAATCCCAGCGGAAGTTGCTTTTTGTTTTAATGAACGTAACAATCTCTTGCATCCGCCCGCTGGCCATAATACCAATTTCAAAAGTTTATAAACTTGGTCAAATTATGCGAACTTAGTTATCTACCTGCAATTAGCGTGAGTAATGAGTCAGTTCCAGACATGAAGAAGTAAGATGTGTCAGGAACTGTTCATGTCACAACTGTAATCAAAACTCGATGGAGCGTGGTGATAGTAAAAATGTCCGAAAAAGCTTTTAAAGCAGAGAGAAAACTTGCGATTTAAGTCTTAACTACCTGTTGAAAAAGTTCTCATTCGGCGAGAGCGTTCGGGTCAAGTCCTGAAGAGTTGGTTCGATTACGGCTTTCCGAAGATAAAACTAGCTACAAGTCACATCTACGTGTTTCCAACTTTTTCAGCAGGAAGCGGAAAATTTTATTACACCCCCGAGGAGTTTTTATATGCTAATTTCTTTCATTTCTAACAATAACGTTTGCTCAGCTTATTACGCAAAATTGTGTATAGTTAGCCTCTGCTTGCTTAACTCAGTAAAATTAATGACATTTCTGTCAGATTTATTTAGACAAACACGAAATTGTAGGTGACACTTTATCGACTCTTTCACGTGGTAACGTGACGCAAAACGCAACATGCAGATAAACAGGGCGATAAATACCATTTAATTGATGCAAGTCTCTTCAAATGATTTGAATCAAAGCGCATCCAACGTGTAATCAATTGTTTGACTTAACTGAAATAGTAAAAGGAAATAGGGTTTCTTATTCATCATGTCGCAGAACCGAAGGACGACAAAGAAAATCGAGTTCAACAAGCGGGTTCGTGACATTGTATCGCGTGATAGCAACCGGCTTAGGAAAACGTTTGAAAAGTTTGACAAAGAGTATGCTAGTCGCTTGGCTGAGATCCAGAACATGCAAGAGAAAGTTCGCCACTCTATGAGAAATTTGGCACAAGAAAGGATGCAAATACGCCCTAATTCTGAAATAGCTAATTTCCATCGTAGTGCAAGGAGAGAAGACGAAACAGAAGGAGCAAAATCAGTGCATGACGACCGCCGTAAAGGAAGTAAAATGATGTTCGACAACAAATTGCAACAAAGCGTGGAGGAACGGATAAAGAGCAATTCCAAAGCGTCATTGCCAGGGATCCACAATACTCGTTCCGAACATCTAGAAGTTCCAAATCGTTCACCAACCAGAACCCGGCGTTACTCGTTACCACATCCTCCAACGTTTCTACCTGGAAGCCCGAAAGAGAGCCGAGCGTTTCCGATCCATGCTTCGCTGGCGAGGTCAGGTATTTCATCGTCTTTGCCAAGAGAGGCTTTTGTGAAAAATATTTCTTCTCAAGATGCTTTGCGAAGAAAACAACTTCAAAGTTCAGAAATCGCATGGCAACGTAGGACCGACAGACTTTCAGTTCATGATCTGCCAACTTCTTCGTCAAGCTCCGATTCCCTGAATAGTGCCAAAGCAAAGCTAAGTCCTCAGCTTAGTCGTAAAGTTCATAAAGCCGACAGTATTCACAATGAGAAGGACATCAATAGTAAGCCTGACGAAGACAAGAAATCAGAGCATGCAAAATTTACTGAAGATTCAAGTGGAAGCGATACCCTTAAGAAAGATATTGAAAGAGAGCCAAAGAGTGTTATCGATCACAATAATACGAGGCCTAAAGTTCTTCTTACCAGAACACGAAGTTCGTCTCTTCCCTGTGACCCAAGTCAGTTGAAAGACATAAAACCCAAAGAAAGCCTAAACTCTGGCGTATCCGGATTTATCAGGTCAAAGGATCATGTCGCTAGTGGCAAACGAGTGTCTTCACTGGCAGTGCCAGATGCTACTGACCAGAACGAAAACGAATCAGTGTCAAAACCATTTGAAGAGCTTCGTCTCTGTAGATACTTAAGAAGCAGTGACGTAGAGGACTAACTTTGCAGGGCTAGGCTGATGTTTAGAGTGATGCTGATATCAGACGAAATTGAGAAGGTCACATTCAATATTTACTTTCTATCTAACAATATATGTGCTCTCCTTTAGCTTCCCTTAAGTCATTCCTGGTATTCGGTATGCTTTAATGGGTTACGATTATTTGTTTTTCAAATAGTGATTTTCAATAGACTCGTCTTGATTGAGTTTAACACTTTTTTGTGTGTACAAATGTGGGTAACCTCGACATCTAAATAAACGAACTTAACTGCGTTGTATTTTTAAAGTTTTAAATAACATTAAATTGGCCCTAAGTGAGGTTCAGTATCAAATATGTCTTATTTCATACCAGTGTTTACACTAGAAGACGTCGAAAAGTCCATTACTCGATGCTATTCACTGAACCTAGACAGAAGGTTGCTTTGAGTGAATGATCAGGTGATCATTCCACCAACTTAGCAACATTTTTTCCCATTTAAAATCAGTTCAATTCTTTTTCATAGGGAAAGAAAAGGAAGTCACTTTTGAAATTTTACCTGGCAAAATAGTATTGTTTAAAAAGGCGTATTGGAGCGTAACATCACGTGAATCACAAATCAATGAGAGCAAATACGTATCTGAAATCACTATAGAAACTTAGTTCACGTTACAGCACACAGGAATACCATATTTCAATTGATGGCATGGCCTGTTATAAGGGAAGCTTTAACTTTGACAAATTCTACATTGACCCACCAGTATCAGCTGTGTGTCGTACAAAGTGTAATTAATTGATCGATGAAAAGGTATCACTCATTGTTCAGCGAGCTGTTGTAGTTTTAATATACGTTTATTATCAGTACAACTGTAATTAAGGCGGCAATCCAAAATAAAGCAAGCCGATGATTACATTCGGTAACCTCAATTATCTTATATTTTGGGAAGACGCGGACATGTTGCAAGGAAAGGCGAAAAAAATACACAGAAAATTTTGTTCAAATGTAGTGTTATGGTCCGTTACTGTTATGTACTGTGGTAAGAGTCCGATAAATGTATTTGTAAAAGGCAATACTACATTACAGCGGTTAGATGTTTGACTTACAAAATTCAATTCAAAACACTTAGCAACAACTCGTGAACTTTCATAACGTGAACGATATTAGCATAGTAAGTTATGTAATGCATTTTCATTCTCAGAATTTGTACACCTGTACTGTACCCGCTTGCATGTATTGCTGCGAGGTTTAATTATTGCTTTATGTTGAGCTATACGAAATATAAAAGTTAATTTCCTTGGGAATAAAACTTTAGGAGGTGCTGGTCACAATGTATCCGAGTCGTTTGACTCTTTCGAAGCGGGACGAAAAGGCGAAGCGTCTCAATGCAAAAGAGGGCAACTTGCTTCAGATGGAAGTGGAGCGATTCGAAAAACAACACAACAAAGAAATGAAGAACATACTTCTCGAGAGACAAATCGCCAAGGAAACTATGAGTGACATCAGGCGGCAAAGAACGTCATCCCTGTTGGCAGCCAGGGCGGTTTTGCAAGAAAATGACGTGAGTAACAACAACAACAACACCATAAGTTCACCAACTTTAGCAGCAAAGCGCAACTCAGAAATTAAGGCAAGTTGGCCTCTCAGTTTAATTTCACAAAGCTCCGAAGCTCAAGAGGACGTAGCACATATTCGTAAACCACACCTACCTCATTTTATTCAAAGATCTCCTCACATTGAGAGAAAAATCTCGGAAGACGTAGCTGTAAATTTATCGCCTTCTACCGGGCGTAAACGTGCCCAGACGTTTTCTGGAACCACAGTTTGTGGATCTGAATGGGAAATCTCGAGTCGAAGTCCCATACGGAAATCACCAAATCTCGGGAGAAAATCCTCGGAAATTTCACATGCGGCGATAATTTGCAAGCCTGAACAACAAAGCTCGAGTGCAAGTCTCACTCTCACACCAACTCTTAGAAGAAAAATCAAGAAAGACGTTGCTACGAGTTGGTCCCCTATCATTGGAACTCGAAAGCGTGCTCAGACGATTTCAGGAAGAACGGCAATTATTCAGTCTGACGTAGAAAACATGAAAATACTGGAGTACATCCCAGTTTGCAAAGAACATCTAAGCCATTCGGATCAGGATGAAGACCTGACAGATGGTAGATCCAGAAGTCTCAGTGATGGTTCGTCAGATTTCAAATCGAAACAAACGAGTCTCAAGATGGAGAGTGTTCGTAACTCGCCGTGTCTCAGCGCACGTTCGTCATCTCGTTCGCCGCTCGCAGAGAGGAGAATGGTTAGCGTGGATGATGTCGGTCGACTGTTATTAAGACAAAACTCTTTAGACGTTCCATACAAGAGTCCGACCCAACAACGTTGGAAGTTAAGTCCCTCCACTGGCATTGCCAAGTTTCGGAAGGATGGAGCTGCCGCTTTTGCTGTGCAAACACTCATCTCCAACCACCATCGTGAGAAATCAATCTTGGCGGCAACAGAGAAGCTCATCACCGAACGGGAAAAGAGAGAAATGACTTGCAAAGAAGAGCAGCAGAAGAATGTCGATCCAAGTGGAAAAAACTGTCCTAAACGCACCACTGGTTTGAGACAAAGATTGTATACAATTGCCCAGCTCGTTATAGCTTTGAATGCCCTTAAATTGACTGCCACACGGCGACGGCGAAGATTTTCGTTCACTAAAGAGAATCCAAAATGATAACTCAATTAATCCTTTCCATTTTGGGAGTGAAGCCGTGACAACAGCCCCGAATACTGACAGAATTCTAATTCAGGGCAAGCGTTGAAGAAAAATTAATTTATTTTTATCTAAATATTTGATTTCTCACGATCAAAATGTCATGCATACTTGAAAACAAATGCGGTATCTGCCTTAAAGGTTAGGCCAATGTCTTAGTAAGGAAAATTTTGTAAAAATGAAAATAGCTGACGTCGATCAATTCAGTTTGATCACCGTGTTCTCTACCGAGTTTTTTTGTAGATATTATGAATCGAATCGGGTTTTCGTGATTGAGAGAAATTGTTTTGATTCATTCGAGTTGTCAAGATTAAGTATCTCTTAATAATAAACAAAAAGTGCCAAGTATAGTTCACATGCTAAAAAAGCTATCTTGCTATCTGCTTGTTGGCAAGTTATCCACTTGCAACAGGAAACACAGATCATTTTGTATGATTAGTTTTTGTCAAAAAATTTACGTTGTGAATTGCTTAGTAGATGAACTCTGAGCCCTGCATTCGGCATTTCTCTCGCAAGACATCGAGAATTAAAGCGGAATTTTTTTCCGACACAATGATTCTTGTTCGGGTTTTAATTCAACCTTACAGTTCTATCGTTAAGTTTTCTTTAACTACCCGGCTAGACCAAGAAAGTGTGTTTTCACCCATTCTGTTAATGAGCTAGATATAAGGCATAGTTATGACACTTAATTTACCCAAACATCAAATTGTCTGCGTTTTCTTTAGGGTAAATTAAAAGGTCTGTATTGATACCTGTCGTTGCCATCTACGGAATCGTGATAAGAGGATGGAAAAAACAGAAGAAATTACAGAGGCATATGCCTCTCGTTCTTTCAAGCTGACCAAGGTTCTTCCTATGTAACTGTAGACGGAAGATAGAAATATTTCTATTGCGAAATGTTTGTGACTTGCTGTATACAATTTTAGAAACACTTTCTGACACATTTACGTCTTAACAGCGCGACGAGTATTCTATGCATCATATTCGCAGTTAAGGTTGTAGTTTTTATGATCTCCACGTGCAAACGAATTCACAAGAGAATCAACTGCTCCGTTATATTGAATCTAGCATCAGACGCTCTCACTCGTGGCATTGAAATTGGATAGTGTGGGTTCGAATCCTCATGGGAGAGAGCTGTTCGCCCAAGTATTGCAAATTTGAATTGATTAAATTAAATACGGTTCTCTATTTGAATAAATAATATTCTACATTGATAATATACTATCTAGACTGGGGATTAAATTCCAGTTTCCAGTTCATCTTTTTACGTGTTTTCTGCTTTGTCATGAACTTGCAACTGAATACTTTGGTATTAATCTGACCTCCTGGTTATTATTTTGAGGGTTAAGTAGATTGAAATACCTCCGAAAGCCTTCCGTTAGGATCATTTTGCACCTTTAATCTACTTGAGGCGACAAATAAATTTAATTTGGGAAAATGTGATATTTGTGTAATTCCTTGGTTGATTACCGATAGGGAATAATCACATTTTATATTTCCCTCTTTTTAAGAAGGTATGTTAAAAATAATTCACATAAGTAAAGACAGCTTACGCCATTTATTTTCCGTCGTTTTCAATTCATTTAACATAAAAAAGTTCTCTTAACAAGTAGGAAAGCATGAGTTGTCAGCGCTAGCGTCGATGTCACCGTTCGAAGGTATGAAAAAGGAAAAAAAACGTCGCATAGCAAAACAAACCTTGATTTTGCCGATTAAGGTCATCTAAAGTGACTTTGTTTTTTACCTCCATTTTAGCACACTAAGGCTTACATAATACCATAACCCCCTGGATCAGAAACCGGAACCCGGCATAGCGGGATTTGCGGTAATTACCAAAATATTAGTGCATTTTTGTCTTATACTTTTAAGATTTGACACACATTATCTAGGACGGTGACTAACCGATTTGTAGAGATTGTCTAGACAGCTAAGTGGATAGAAAAGTTTAACCTTAGCAACAGCTTTTTTGGATAATCGGCGCTCGAAGTGGGGGGCAGGGAAAAGGTGGAGGTGAAGGAGGATTCGGGGGTGTGGTAAATAATCTAAAGCCTTTGCATTGCGTGATTGATATGGAACATGTTCAAACGTGACGAGCATTGCGTGACGAGTGGTTATAAACTAAACAGAATTCTCGAGAAGTTCATATTCCATCGTAGGTGGTTGTACATTAAACAAATCAAACAAGGAAACCTCGACCGTTGCATGTTTCATTCTTGTGTACTGAGCCAAAGGATTGTTGCGCGGGGGTTATAAAACCATGACACATACTGAGATATATTACGATTAGGTTGCGAGATCAAAGATTACCCAGCTAAAAACTGAACATAGTTGAAATCATGAATGGGAAAGCGTTCGTTTTGGCCATAATGAGTACATGTAAATCTATGATGACATACGATGGGACTACCAGAGTCTAGCATGTAGTTTTAGTTCGCTTTGAACTGTAGCCATTATAAGTGCGACGCGAGACAACTAGACAATGGACAACACTCACGGAGATCCATATCGAGTTTCATTCAAATTCTCCCAACCAGAGCAATGATTGAGACTCAAACTGGTAAAGAGAAATGCTATGTTAAAGAAGAGGGCTCTAATGTAACTCGAGACAGCGAAGGTCGCAGTATTCCTGGTGTAAATACTCTGTTACAATTGGCCGCCGATTTGGCAAGTGTGCTGGTGATAGCTGAAACTAGTGTTGTTTGGGGTAACTTCATACAAAGTTAGCAAGGTCACGTCAACGTCATTCAAAAGAAAACATAGTTGTTTTGAACATCCATCGCGCAGTTCTCGAGTCTGTAAAATGGCAAGCCGTGAAAATCTACCCGATATCCTAAACGAGTTCTTCAAAGCGATTGATGAGATGAATAACACAGTATTGGTGCCCCATCGACTCGTGGACATCCCAGAGGAGAACGAGCTTCCATCTGGAAAGTGCCAATGCCCGACATCGACTGATAATTCTTTGGTCAAGCCTGGAAAAGAGTTGGAAGATTCAGGGCTATTCGGAACTTATCACATGCTTCTAGATATCAAGGAAGAATTGACGACCGGGAAGCCCACGTCGGCTGAGGGATGCTTCCGTTCGCACATCAAAGCCGTAATGGAAAGCATGAAATATCTTACAGGGCTCGCAAGATCCCTGACCCAGAATTATTGTAACGAGGTATACAGAGGAGGCGAAGACAACTTTTTACGGCCGAATAGTTTTTCGTTTGATACGTTGGAAGATCTACGCAAGCAGAATGGTGCAGGGCAGCAAGCCAAAGAGGCATCTCGATTAGGACATAGAGGAAGACAACGGTTTTCTTCGATGTGAGGTGTTACTATATATTGACAAATGTTACATGATCGATCGTTTAAATGGAACCTGAAATTATGGCGAAAGGAGCTCCCATTGTCTTTAGACAAAACATAGGACAAACCACGATGGCATAATCGTTCTTTCGCTGACTTATAATTAGACTTGTAAAGGGCTGCATTTCCACGAAATATTCAAAGATCTAGAAAAATTTTCTCAAGGTTTTGCCATGTTGGTTTGGCTTTAAATTCACCGTGCGTAGGCATAGAATATTTGGTAGCGTAACGTAATCATGTATTTACATCGGGTCTAAGACATGTGGAGAACCTAGTCTGGGACTAAAAGTTACGTATTATTTATTCGCAAGTGCAAAGCGTAAACGTGTTTGAAAATCGGAATCTAGGATACTAATGCTGCTAAAAATTCAATATTGTGTAAAAATTCCTGTTCGTGATCATCAATAAATTTCCTGCAAAACTTGTTTTGGAACTGTCGCGCTAATTGATTGACATGTGCCAGTCGATTTGTCATCGATGATCTCGTGCGGGTTTCACGGGAGTTCCGTGTGACGAGAGATGCGATGCCAAGTACTCAGAAAAGGAGGAAATGTCGTCACCACGCACTCATCGCCTATCACAACTGTACAATGATGAGTCATTTTACCCTCACGTGTCTATTCGGTTGTTCCTTTCTACAACGTAACGTCATCCCCACAATATAACAGTTTCAGATACGCACGGTTAAAGGGAAGGGAGGGAGGGGAGGGAGGAAAGGGAGGGGTGGAAGAGGGGAAATGGGGCCAGGTGGTAACAAGAGATTCTGGCCTAATTCAGTTAACACCGTCTGGGTTTTTTTCCTTTCAGAATCGCGGTGAGCACAACTGTAATGCAAACACGACAAAATTCAAGGCATCTGAACGTTTGAATTGGCGTTTTCGCCGAAAACCAAGGTATTTTGGCTTATTAGCATGTTGGGAAAATGCTCACGAGACGCAATTCCCTATATTACCTGTATTTGTTAATCGCGCGCTGCTACATTTTGTTTCATTCCGATTTAAGGAGCTCAAAGCATCTTAAAAAGGTGTAGGTGTAACTTTCCCTGTTAGCTCAAAAATCCAAGTAAGAACACTGAATTACCTATATTTTCATGGCCTGGGATTATGTGATTAGGATGTTTTGAAAGGCAAATGATCGCTAAGAGATTTCTGGCCTCATATCGATTATTGAGTACACTGATTTTTTTTCATACAAACACAGGAGAAGTCGATTGAATCTACGGAATTTCTGGTGAACAGATATCGTATACTCAGTCAATAATTTCAGGTAGCTTAAGAAAACAGCGAAAAATTTCGGCTGAGTGAGGCTTATGCTTAAATAACAATAACAAAGCGATTTTCACCGAGGAAAAAACTCTAAAGTTTCACTACCGGTCCGGAAACGTTTCACATTAAGTACAGATTAGACATGATTGTAATACAGCAAATTTGCCGCTGGATTCTTTGCACGCAGCTGTGCTTTGACGGGGAATTGTCAAAGGTTAAACTTATATTTACCTATCAGAAAAGGTGTTTTCTTAGTCCAAAAAAGGCTCGAGGGCGAAAGATTTAAATTGAGACGGCCCTGATTCTGTTCTGATCGAGGCAAATCGTTAGTTTGCATAGGGAGCAGAGGAGTTAAATACGATTGTCTGTCCTGTTAAATCGCGTTGACTGACCGTGGATGCATGCGATCATGTTGCGAGTCTGGTGAAACCCTATCTGCGATAGTAGTTGACAAGCGAACCCTTCTATTTGCGGCACGCGCGGTCGAAGAAGCGCACCTTTCGAGGCGTGCGAGGCATGCGATCATGTTGCAAGTCTGGTGAAACCCTATCTGCGATAGCAGTTGACAAGCGAACCCTTCTATTTGCGGCACGCGCGGTCGAAGAAGCGCACCTTTCGAGGCGTGCGAGGCACGAAATGCAAAGCTAGAAGCCTGTACCAGCGAAGCGATGCAAGGGCATTTTCCACTGAACGCAAAAATTTTAAAATGTCAACATTTCGTTGGCAGAGGGGAGGGGGGTGGGGTTTGGTCGAATGGTTGAACGCCTTTAATACTACAATCCTGCAGAAGCCATGAATCGCTGTTTAGTCAGATAATCAGGTTGATTTCATAAGATAAGCTGAGTTATACAAGCATCTTGATTGGGTCTTGCTTATGGTCTATTGGAGGACAGGCGAAGGGGTGACGTCACCATTAACAACATTTTGCGTTTTAATCATATAAAACAAATAGATTCAAAGTTTCCGTGGGTCTGTACAGTAATAGATCATCAGCGACATTCTGCTGCGCCCCGTGTGCCTCTTTTTTGTTCTAACCACATTTTGGCGTCATCTGTGATCTAGTTGAGCCTCCTTTTGGTCCAAAGGTATGCTCGGAATATTGTCCGCGGCCATTAACTGTTCCTAACCGAGTGCGAAGCTCGAGCAAAAAACTGTGTGCGTTATGGAACAGATAATGTTCAAGGACAAATATAGGTAAATATTTTCTTGCAAAATGGACGATGCTGTGTTATCAACCTTCAAGCTAGCGTGGGATGCTCACTCGTCCGTTTTGAATTTATGGTACGAATTCATGAACAAACAAATATGTCCTTTCTTCTGTGGCAAAAGCAAACCACTCTCTCATCTTGAATCAAATTTTGAACGAAGACTTTTATCGTAGTGAACGAAAATTTGAAAATTTGGGAATATCACTGGATATTTCCCATCTTTAATTGGGAAATATTCGATCATGTGATGCATTTAGACCAGTTGCACGAAAGATATTTGATGGATGAACAGACGCGCGGAAACATAGAGAAAATCAATAATAATAATAATAATAATAATAACAATAATAATAATAACAATAACAATATGAGATAGACAGAGAGCCAATACAAATACAGCATAAATCCTGTACGCAAAAAAAAAAAAAAAAGATATATGATCACTGAAAAATCGACGGCGTGAGGTTATCGTGGTCGTGACCTCTATAACATGAACATCTCTTTAATACAGGAACTTCGCTATGAACCTTTGAAGTCCGTTTTAGGGAGGTTAACTCGGCTGTGATAATGTGTATTGGTTACGAAAAGAAACTTGGCCATGCATGAACCCTTTTGTTTTTGTTCTTTTTCTTATTTTTAGGTCTTGATTAAGTGGCTGCCCCCACACTTAGCCACCTTTGAAGTTAGCGTCACATTCTGCAGTCTTCAAAATCCACCTGAAACATCTAACTTTATTCCCCACTGTGTCAGAATGAGCCCAACATTCTACTTGTCAGCACCGAGGATTAACTGAAGCAATAGCAAAACAATCGTCGTCGAGTGGTGATCATTCTAGTCGCTCGTTGTGGTTATAATAATAAATCAAAGTATGTACGTTTTTTGACGATATAGACCCACTATCAAACGTACATCGCCCCACAAAAACGTCATAGTATGACTGTCGTCGCAATCGGAAATGACCTTATATCGTGAGACAGACGATTTCACGATAATTTATCGATTTCCTTTTCATTTTTTTACTTTACTTGACTTTGGAAATAAATAACTGCTCAGTAGATATTCTTGACGTCCTTGTATGGTGCCAATATTCTTCTTCTTTCTTTGCACTTAACAATATTACGCGAGTAGGAAGTGGGCAACATTTTGCTTGTTGCCGAGTCACGACATGAAGATATTGGCTTTAGAGTTCTGAACGGGTTTATTACCTATCTAACCACAGTCGAATAAAATTTGTAAAACATACTAAATTCACTAAAATAATAAACCATAAAAATTTATTAAAATAATTGAAATCGGTTTTTCCCTTCAATTTTTTTTTTCATTTTTTGCCTGTGAAGAGGTATACTTACTTAAGCGTATGGCTTTTAATTATCTTGTATTTCATTCATAATTTCATTAATATTTTTGTCTTAACACTTATACAAAGATCCAGATAAATTTTGGAAATTTCAGTAAATAACATTTCACTGAGTCTCTGAAATTTCAGGCAACTATCTCTGTATTAAACATATAATCTCTTTAAAGGCCCGGCGGTAGTTAGAGCTTTGGAAAGCATAAATAAATGGATTTAAGATAGAAGAGAGAAGTACAGATAGGAGTGAAAAAGCTATCACTCTGTTCGATAAAGAAATACGCATCTCAAGTTCTTTAACAATTGCAAACGGTAAGTAGGTAACAATGAACACGACAGTCACTATAATGGATAGATGTATTACTCTTTTCTTTTCCCTTGCATCAACTTCAGCTGGGATATTCATCGGCACAATCCTTGTCCCGAAATACAGCGCGCGTATTATTTGAACATAACAGAACAACATAACTATAAGAGGGACCACAATAAAAATTATAAACCCAGTTGTCCAGAATGTGGCTTTGGCAGTTGTACCCCAAGTTCTACCACAGCGGTAAGTCGAACCAACATTGTAGTCAGCGAAGTACACTAAAGGAATCACAGCAGCTAGGACAAAAATCCAAATAGCCAAGATAAAATAGCGAAGGGTCCGTTTTTTTAACTTGAAGCGAGTGTTCAGTGGTTTCACGATAGCGCTATAACGTTCCAGAGCGATAATAGTCAGTATAAAGGCAGAACACCCAGATGCAGCAGGATAAATTGAGTTAATCTTGCAAATTATAACACCCAGGGTCATGTTTGGAATGGGAAAAGCGGACGCTACTCCCCATGTGTAACCAAGAATATTTGCCACCAAGTCACACGCCGCCAAATTTGCAAGTAAGAAGTTCGTCTTGGTTTGAAGATATCGCCTCTTTCTTACGACTACAATGACCATTAGGTTCCCAATAACACCAACCGGTAGAAGAAAAATTGCTGTGAGAAGGAAAGTCGTAAGGCCAAAAGTTGAGACTCTACGAATATCGGTAGTCTTGTTTGCGGTGGTATAATCAACCGAACCATTCATTTTTGTAGTTTTTGGAAAGAAAATTTAGACGCTATGGCATATTAGCTGACATGTACACAACAACGAAACACCATGGCCGAGCGAAGAACAGAAGCCGTGGTTTCCTACACAGTATTATATGCTAATCACCGTTTTGGTTCCTGCTATTTTAAGACGACATAATTTCGTGGTTACCATAATTATTGGGTTCTTAAAGTGGCTATAAATTTTTTCAATTTTGATCACTACGGCAACCATTAAATTAATCACTTTAGTTAAGAGACTGAGTGATGATTGTATTATTTTTGTCATTTTTATGACGTGACTGGAGGAATCTCTCAGAAGTGAAAGGAAGAGAAAGAGAAAGAGTGCCAGAAAGAGAGAGAGCGCATAAGTGCGAGAGAAAGAGAGAAAAGAGGGCGAATATTAGATTGGCTAAGGTGCAAACCTGAATAAAATATCGACAGAGGGCAAACCGTCACAAGAGAAAGGGATGGCTCAGCGGTCGCTCGGAGAGAGAACGTTGGCGGGCATCCGTGGGCAGAGTAGACTGGGTAACAAGAAAAAGTTTCAAGCAGAAAAACTTACAACAAATAAACAAACTAACGTAACAAAAACACTCAACCAAAACACTCAAACAAACAAAAATCAAAAACAAACCTAACAGGACAGCATTCATTCAAGAACTTGAATGTACCCTAGGAGACTAAAAAAAAAAACAATAAAACTCAAGTAGTTCTACACTACAAGTGAAGTAGAATGCGAGCATTTTCATAACGCTATGAATCAAATCTGCCAACTTAACAAGGATCGAGGGAATTTTGATGTGAATGAGCGGAGTGCTGCTTTTCATTCAGATCGCATTTCGGAGGATATTTTTTTCTGCTGGTACTTTATCAATAAAGAAATAGAAAATTCAATGGGCCTCCCAAAAACCAACAAATGCACGAGTTTATCAGGCCTATATGGAAAGCAATTCAAAACCGCCCTCGTTTTCAAGTTTTCAATCTGTGTAAGACAGGTGATACGAAGTAACTACATTGTATTGTACTTCACTGTTAAAAACAAATTATTTTCAAAGCATGTGAATTCGGTTTCTGTGAGTTTTGACTGATTATCTACGAGTAACTAATTCTATTTCTTCCTCAGGTTTTTTCGTGTTGTATTTATTCGTAATTCAGACCGTCCATGAACACTATCGCCTCCTTTTTGGGTAATGGAAAGATTAAAATCTGGCGACAGATGTCAAGCAAAGTACCTCTCGCCTGGTATGTTTTGCTTTCCATATGCAAATATAAACCACCAGTGTCTTGACTATAAACAATAGCGGCGTGAAGAACGTGCTCGCTCAAAGCCTCTTATGGACTTAATCTTTCTCTTTACTTGACAACTCTACGCAAAATACACAGTTCTCTACGACAAAATTTCGAAATTCATCGATTTTTAGCGGAGGACACTTTTTTGGTGAAATACTCAGAGATGGATGATGAACGACTTCAGCTTGCCAAACGCCATTCTTTTCCGTATATGAAAGTGTGCACATGGAATATTTTGAAATCGGGATCGGCGAATGAAGTAGAGATAGAAATCCCCAAAGCGGATTCAGTCCCTGTTATTGATTCTGAAGGGACAAGCGAGGAAAGAGAAGCCCGCCTAGAAGCAGCGATTTTGTGGATACGAAAGGAATTGGTAGGTAAAAAAAAAATGTCAAAAGATACCGAAAATTGTGTTGGAAATATATTCAGTTTAGCGGATTTCGGAACGTCAAGTAAAAAATTACTGCGGCATTTCTTTGAGATAACTAAATATTCTCGAACTAAGAGACTTTTTAGCTAGAACTCGTGTATTCTTGCAGCGGACAGGTCGAAACCTGTCACATTTTTATTTTTCCTTCGAGGGGCTGTTTATGTTTCTGCATTTTTGATTACAATGTCGCAAAAGTCTTCATCGTTTTCGACGCGTGACATGCTTGGGATAATAATAGTCACAGATAAGGCCTTAACATAGATCTTCACCATATAAAGATCTAGAATCTATCTCTTCGCCATATGGTCTAATAATTTCTGTTTTAAAAGTCTCCACCTGCCTAGAAAAAGATGGAACTGCACGGATGATAATGTAATACCAATACCCGCGACGAATTACATGATCAAAAAGTCAACGAAACAAATACAAAGTGCACAAAGAGGAACAAAATAAATTTTAAAATATTTTAAATATAGAGATAAAATAAAAGACAAGTCGTCATACTGTCTTTTTTTTTTAATTTAATTTAATTTTTTTTTTGGCGAAGAACACTATCATTGGTCAATAATAATGCACAATACTCTCTGTCTGTAGAAACAATAGTGCAATATCGGCAGACTCCAATTGTGTAAATTAACAACAGAGTTATGTTATTCGCAGCCATAACATCCTATTTATAGAAATACAGGTTAGACACAATATGATTCATCACAAGAGCTGACAAGCTTAGTAACGTAATCACTTGATCCTTTTAGCGAATCAAACACAGCTAATTAAATGCTTTCGGAATACCTCCTTAATAAAACACACTATCAACAAAGTATCTTGTGTACTCAAAACTAATTGACCTTCAGTTCAACAATGTGTCGCTCAATCTCACTTCGTCTAGTTAGTGGTAAGTGCGGCATGAAAACGTACTGGATTTGGGAAATTTCGCACTTAAAATGGGGCTAGAGCTGAGATGAGTATAGATAGTATAACTTGGATGTCCATTATTACGGTACAATGTAAGAAAAATTGAAAATGACATCTGATGCTTCTTCGTAATTAGTTTTTGACGAAAACAAGCTAATATCGAGAGAGGTGTCACTTCACCGGAATAGAGAGAAATATCGAGGTGTCTACTGTTTCAACAAAAAAAAAAAAAGTTCGCGCAAATACCGAGCAGAAGCGCAATGGAAAATCGAAAGACTCCAAACTTTAAGAATGCATTTCGGAAGTTCGCCCAATTATTTTTTTTAAACGAAAGTGTACAAATTGTTTCGCTGAAGAACAATTCTTTTGAGCTATGGCAGCTTCTGTATGAATATACTGAGCATAACCCAAGCAGGGATGTCGGAGATGGAAAGGTCCGTGTTCCAGGCCTGATCACATCGATGGTTTTTCGTAATTAGTATATGACAAAAATAAGCTAATATCGAGAGAGGTGTCACATCACCTGAATAAAGAGAAACATCGAAGTGCCTACTGTTTCAACAAAAAGGGAAAGTTCGCGTAATTACCGAGCAGAAGCGCGATGGAAAATCGAAAGATTGCAAACTTTAAGAATGCATTTCGGAAGTTCGCCCAAACAATTTTTGTAAAGGCAATGCACAAATTGTTTCGCTCAGCAACAATTCTTTTGAGCTATTGCAGCTTCTGTATGAATACACTGAGCATAACCCAAGCAGGGAAGCCGGGGATGGAAAGGTCCGTGTTGCAGGCCCGATCACATAGTTGTACTGTATTCTTGGGCATGACACTTTGATATTCCGGTGCCTCTTCCTACCAAGGAATACTAATGGCAAGTGCTGAACTGTACATGTTGGGGGAACCTGCCAAGGGCCAGTATCACCCCATCCAGGGGAGGGGGGGGGGGAAAGCAACAGTCCCGGTTGCCTGATGCTACAGAAACCGGGTGAGTTCCGCCAGAAGAGCCACTGGGTTCGTGGTCGTGTTCGCTTAACTGTAGGCTCGTGAGACTAATCTACACTCCTCTGTGTCTTAACAGGCTGATATGCGGCATCAGGACAAGTATCTCACAAGGCAGTTCATTCATCTGAGAGCTACAATCCAACGTATCAAGAGCGAGAGTTTGCTCGATGGGCTGGAAGGAAACACTGACAAGCTAAAGGAGACCTCTTTCCGACATTCGATACCTGGACCTACAATCCGACCGATGTTCGGTAGAAGCATATCTTATATGTAGTCACAGACCATCGTTGTTCCTGTGTCACGCGCAATGAAGAGTTGCGTTACAATTCTTGATGTGACAAAAAAAGTTAGAATAATATATCATGCTATAATTTAAGTGCTTCCTTGCCGTCGAAATTTCATCGTTTGTGTTTAACAAGTACGTTAAAAGAGAGTAACGCTTGATCGGGGCTGTAAAAATAGGTACCTAAAATAAAACATTGATGGAAAGGGATCACCCTTGCGGTAGCTGAGTCCGTGTCGTTTTAGTTAGTAAATCCAAACAGGGTCAATTAGGAGTTTTGTAGAGGATAATACGACAACCGATCTGCTATCATGTAAAAATAGTCAACCACTTCACGATTACATTTTGCAGTTTACCGGAAAAAATACAATTGATTGCACATATTGAACAAAAGTTCACGAAAATTATTAAATGGGTTGGAGCAGTACACGAATAGCCTCAGACGCTGTGAAAATAGTTAAGTACCATGTGCAATTTACGATTATCGCAAGAAATATGATGAAAATTGTACTAACATTTTAGAGAGTCGTTGATTTAAACCAGAAACCACTTCCACAAGGATTACTCATACGTAGTAAAAAATGACTTCAATTAAAAGCAAGCCAACTATAACTAAATACAAATACTAATTAAATGTATTAGTACATCTCAGTTGAAAACAATTTCAGTTATTTTCCTTTATTATAAATCGCTCCTCATCATATTATCCCTAACAGGTGGGTAAATTTGTGTCAGATTATTAAACTTATTTTCACAGCCACTCCAATTTCTGATAAATTTTGAAAACCACCATTCACTATTATTTCGTGAAAACCGTTTTCTATAATAATTAAATAAAATATATATCACTTTTCAATTTCGTGCCAAAAACAAGAAAATTGTTTTAGAAACTGATAATTTTGTGATTATAACAGCAACTTTAATTTATGTTAATTTTGTAAAAACATTATTCAATATTACTTCGTGAAAACCGTTTTTTTTAGTAATTAAATAAAAATATATCACTTTACAATTTCGTGCCAAAAATGATGACAAAAATTTAAATGATACAAAACATGAACAATGTTTTAGACACTGATTATTTTGTGGTTATCACAGCCACTTTAATTTCTGTTAATTTTTGTAATTTTGTAACTTGTGGAAACCGTTTTCTTTAATATATTAATAAAAATAATAATTTTCCTATTCCGAGCTAAAAATGATAACAAACCTTTCAAAAAAAGACGAAAATGTATTTTTCATTGATTATCTTGTGGTTATTCACCCTTATTTAAAAGCATGAAATTTGGACTAAAACGAAACGTAACGCAACGCAAATTACATAAGTTGTAAAAAACTTATTTTGTTGAGTCTCAACGAAAATGTATTTTTCATTGATTATCTTGTGGTTATTTACCCTCATTTAAAAGCATGAAATTTGGACCAAAACGTAACGCGACGCAAATTACATAAGTTGTAAAAAACTTAATTTGTTGAGTCTCAACGAAAATGTATTTTTCATTGATTATCTTGTGGTTATTTACCCTCATTTAAAAGCATGAAATTTGGACTAAAACGTAACGCAACGCAAATTACATAAGTTGTAAAAAAACTTATTTTGTTGAATCTCAATTCAGATTCAAACACCGAAAAACATAAAAAAGACATACCTAGTTTCCTAGACATAAGGAAAAATAATAATTATAACAAGGAAAACAGTTATTTAAAGGTCAAAACAAAGAACAAATGTAATACTATAAGCCCTGTTCATTATGTAAGACATACCCTGGCCATTCATCTCTCTAACACTTTGCCATCTGACTTACAATTATATGATATCCCTCTCAGTTAAGTGGACGAAAGAACGTCGAAATATCAGCACATCCAGCAACCTGCTCTAGTATCCTTCGTTGTTTCAGTCTTTTGTTTAATTCGCTAGTGGCCTTCCTGTGGCATATAACGCACAAGGTCCTCAGATTATCTAATCCACATTCCCCGCCTCCCTCTGACACAGGTGTGATGTGGTCCGCTTCCCAGAACTAGAGTAATCATGAGAAAAAACAAAAAAAAAAAAAAAAAAGAAAACCAGATGAAGGGTTTAGTCTTACTTGACTGATTCAACATGAGGGCACAATAGTCGAGCGTGACGGTCGCGCGTGGCAGCAACGCGTGACAACCGAACGAGTTTGGTTTGATCACTAATGAGGAGTGAGGGAGAGGGCTCTCTCCGCAAGTTACTTTTTTGTCTCCAGCCCTTAATGCGCATTGATAACGAATATTGTTTTGAACAATACAATCAAAAATCGACAAAAAAAAAAAGAAAATGGTAAATTGGGCCATGTAGATATTTAAAACAGCAAGGTGTTTTTGAACATCCAGCTTACCATTCCCTCCTTTGGCTCCATTATCATTTTCATCAACTTTTGATTTGGCAAAGTCGAGTAATGAGTCTGAGCCAAGAATGCCGGCCGATCTCTGACAGATAACGCGACAACATTTTGGTACAAGTTATGGGCGTCCATTGAACACAGCTGACAAATTCCTCGTTCTGCTTCAAACAAAGCTCTCCTTGCCGCCGTACCGCTAACACGAACCTAGATTAAAAACAACTCTATTTTAATTATTTTTTTAACATTTCAACCAGCGAAAATAAATTAAACACATTATATTTGAGATTCCATGTAAACAATGTTGTATTTTGTTATCTGTGATTGCAAAATATTGAATTGGGGGAAGAGGAGTTGTAGCGAAACACAGTCCAACTTGTATTTTACTTCTAAGCCATCCTTGATGGTGGCTACGTGAATTTCATATGTCGACAAATTTTGTCGCGGATTGTGGTCTGCAGCATGAATACTGTACTTGATAGTTAATTGGATTAACAGCAATATCATAGGGAATTACGAGGTAATTAACTTATCAATCAAATCCATTCCGAGAGGGAAGAGAAAATGTAATTCTTGAATAACAATTCACAGTGAAAACGACTTGGAAAATGCTCTTCGGTCATTCCTGTCTTTCCCCTCATTTTCTCTTTCTTGCTAACCCCTTCATCGATGTTCAACTAAACCAACAAATACTGGCGCAAAACGCAGAAATAGGTTCCTTAAAAGCTGTCAAATACCTGATATTCCTGTTTGCAGTCGTGCGAACAAAATCTTGCATCCCAATCTGAGCACCGCACTCTCTTTGCGAACTCCACAGGGCCCTTACAGAACAAGCATAGTGGTACCCCATCAGTCGTCACAGCCTGGTGATAGATCTTATCCTCGCAGATTGTGTTTGAGGCACACATTTGCGTGTTGCTGTTAAGTTCCACGCTCTCTCCTTCTTCTGCACCACCTGCTATACTCTTGGCGTGATCAGTTTTCCTCTCTATTTTGTTTTGTACAATTTTGGGTTTCTTAACTACCCGAACTTTTCCTCCTACTTCTTCCGCGGTATTATGGGCAGCCAGAATCTGAGTTTCCTGCAAGATAACAAGTAAAGGAAGAGGAAGGGACAAAGAAATAATCAGACAATGGTTTTTGGAAATGGTTTGATGCTATTCTGGTTTAAAGATTTAATGAATGCAACCGAGAAGTTACAACTCATAGACCCAAAGTTTCGACACTCCTGTCTAGTACCTTCATCAGCGATTAGATCACCCCTGATGAAGGCACTAGACAGGAGTGTGGAAACGTTGGGTCTATGAATTGAAACTTCTCGGTTACATTTATCAAATCTTTAAACCAGAGAAGCATCAAACCATATCTGATTGTCCACCTGGTTGCCTTGTGAACTGTAATATATCATACTTTTTTAAAATTATTTTAACTGAATCAGCAGCAATTCTAATACCATCGACAACAATACCAAAATCAACATCAACAAAATAAGGGAAAGAAATTTAAAAAATATATGACCTTTACCTTTGAAGGGTGTCGAACATAGCTGCATGCCCTTGACAAACCCTGACAAAACCAAATGTAAAATACTTCAACTGAACCGAAACAAAACGTTGTTCTTTTTATTGTGAAGAGATGTGATCATCATAGCGGGGAAGAATTAAATAAAGAACTTCTTCCTACAAGAGGAGCCTTGCCTAAGGTTTAAAAAATTATCAGTAATTTCAAAGGATGTCTGAGTAATGGCAATAGAAACAGCAGCACAACCATTACCACAAACACCAGCAACAACAACCACAACAACAACGACATTGTACCCACTAAAGACAGCCAAAAGGCGTCTTCCTTTTGAGGATACAATCGTTCACCTTCCAACCCCTATGAGTCTTTTCCCGCGCGTTGTTGGGTGTATTAAGTCCCAATCATGGAAACGCTTCCAGTCGCTAAATATACCCCCTTTATCAAAGTAAACTAGGAACAAAAATTTTTAAGCAAATGTGTAACGATTTCATGAAAACAAGCCAACGGTTACCTTTCTTGCACACTCATAAGCTTCCAGAGGATCATCAAACACAAGTCCTGATTTTCGGAGTATTCGCTTCTTCCCCTCTCCCATCCTAAACAAAATGAAAACCAAGGAAAAAGTGCGTTGTATTTTGTGATACCACAAATGAAAGCTTGACTCAACTTAGACGATTTTCACAAACTCATACTAAGCCTGCTAGAACGTTCATATTGCAATTCCCTTTACCGAGATCAAATCGGTATGTATGTATGTTTAAGTATGTATAAGTATGATCCAGTCTGATTCAGTTACCATAACAAAGCTAAAATGAAGCAATTAAACTACAATTGACCAAAGTAACCTCGTAATAACGCGTAAGGTCTTAATTACCTTCTCCATTTTTCAAGGAATCTTTCAACCTGCCTTAAATTTTCATCATGATGAAGAATGGCGGGTAAATCTTCCATGTTGCAGTTCTTAACATCAGACATGCAGAAATTAATTCCAAGTGGAAGATCATCCTATGCAGAAAACCAAACACCGCAATGATCACGATGCACAAAATCTACTTTCTTATTCTTGATGCTCCAGTTAAGTGTGTGTGTTTGTTTATGTTTTTGCGGTCTTCCTACAAAAACGCCAGCGCTCCCATCCTACAGAATACAAATGCGCTACCTATCTTATGATTATCATATTTTGAGTCACCCTTAAGCACAGAAGAAAATCTGTTTTACTAATCACACTCGTATTGTCTTTCCGGCTGGATGTAATTTTCCCATAGGGCTCCTTTGAATAATTATCCTGACATTGCATTAGTTACAAGGAGGCTGAGAAGGGAAAACAAACCAGTAAATGACTCACCTGAGTGTACAAATATAACCGTTCTGTGTAAAGGCTTAAACAGAATTTCAACTTCATCGCCTCAGGGGGAGCGTCTTTTTCATCTTCTTCCTCCTCTTCTATTACTGGATCCAACTCAGGCCTTGAATTATATTCATTTGCTAATGGCGCAGCTTCAGTATTTTCAGGGTTACCTTTAGCATATTGAGGTTTTTGCGCAGCCTTGGGCTGGGTTTCATTTAGTTGCTTAGCATCTGTCTCTAGCTTCTTCTTAAGCTCCGTGACAGAACAAAAATCGGAGCACTTTATAAATCCTGGGCTTGTAACTGTCGGACTACTTGAGGCTGTTTCATTACTAGAAGCGGAAGAGCTTATTTCAAAAGAACTCTCTTCTTCCCACCACCGCTCGTCGTCTTCCCATTCTGAACTAAAAAATTTTTCTGCTGCAGCTTTCAGCTCTTCAAGGTCCTCCATAACTTCGTCAATTTCCGAATTTTTGGAGGATGGCAAATGGCCACCAACATTCCCTTCGGAGGATACCGTCGAAGAAACTCCACTGCACTGTTCAGTCACCAAGTGATCTGAAACGTCAAGTTGTTCACAGTCCATTTCCAAATCATTATTG